CAAGCTCTGTCTCTGTCTCTCAAATTTAAATAAAAAGAGGCTCCACAGAAAAATGGGTAAAACATTTGAACAGGACTTCACAAAATAGGATGTCCAAAAGTTCAATAAACATATGTAAAAATATTTAACTTTATTATTAATCAGGAAAATTAAAAAAAAAATTTGACTGTAACATGTTTTGGCAAGGATACGTAACAGCGTGGACTCTCAGACCATGGTTGCTGTGGGAGTGTAATTTGTTACAAAGCCTTCCAAAAGCAGTTTACCATCACCTTATCTAGTTGAATACGTACATAGCCTATGAACCATCAACTCACTCCTAAATGTGGGCTCTAGAGAATCTTAAGCATATGCAATAGTATATTATGTATACTATGTATATGCAACAGTATATTATGTGTACTGTGTATATGCAACAGTATATTATAGAACATTACGTGTAATAATGTTTATAGTACCCCATTTATAATAGCCCCAAACTATACACAATAGCAATAGTAGAATAGATGGATAAATGGTGATATAGTCATAAAATGGAATAATATGCAGCAATGGAAATGAACAATCTTCAGTTACATATAACAGCAAAGATGAAAATCATAAACATAGTGTTGAACAAAAGATGCAAGACACAAAACAACCATATGCTGTGATTCCATTTATGTTTTAGTTAAAAAATAGGCAAAACTCAACTACGTTTAGGGGTGAGCATGTAGGTGCTAAAACTATAAGGAAAAGTAAAGAATATATTCTTACAATAATCAGCATAATGGTTACCATTAGAGTGCGATTGACAAAGGGCATAAAAAGAATTTCTAAGTTGCTTGCAGCATTCAGTTTCTTGATGTGGGTGATGGTTACAATATGGGTGTTTCATGATGTGGATGTTTAGTTTATAAACAGAACTCGTATACTTTCTGCATTCTTCTGCCAAGTTATGATATTTTCATAACTGGGGAAAGACTATGAAGTAAGAAATTTTAACTTCTTGGGGCTCCTGGGTGGCTTAGTCGGTTAAGCGTCCGACTTTCACTTAGGTCATGATCTCGCGGTTCGTGGGTTCGAGCCCCGCGTCGGGCTCTGTGCTGACTGCCAGCTCAGAGCCTGGAGCCTGTTTCTGAGTCTGTGTCTCCCTCTCTCTCTGACCCTCCCCTGCTCACGCTGTCTCTCTCTTAGAAATAAATAAAAATATTTAAAAAAAAGAAATTTTAACTTCTTTTCAAAGTAATGTATAATGGTTTTTTAAAAGTTCAAGCGTAAGCGCCTCTGGGTGGCTCAGCTGGCCAAGTGTCTGATTTATCTCAGCTCAGATCTTGATCTCAGGGTTGTGAGTTCAAGCCCCACGTTGGACTCCAACACTGGGTGTGGAGCCTACTTTAAAACAAACAGACAAACAAACAAATAAATATTCAAGAGTAGCATAAAGCTTATAACAAAATTTGGTTATATTACCATTACGATTCCTACTTTCCCAAAGCACTCATTCTGATTTTTGTCTTTTTCTTGTTTTTAGTTCTATGTTTGTCTTTGTATGTCTAAGTAATATAGTTTTTGGACTGTTTCTTGATTTCTTTTTCAGTTTTAGGTAATTTTTTTCAGTTTCTTCCTTCACCTAAGGTCGGAATTTAGCTCTTGCAGAGCATCCCCTGGTCCCAGACTCACATTCCCCCTTCCTCTTGTCTTCCTAGAGTTTTAACACCTCAAAAAAGCTAAATCCACACTCAAGTTTTCATTATTATTCATATAGACTGTTCACTGCTAATCCAAATTAAGTACTCTACTTACATTTCCTTTCTTATATAATTGCATTTTTTTTCTAGCTCAGTTGCCTCTGAGTAATTTGCTTAGTTTTCTTTCTCTCATGTTAAGTATTTTCACACTAGATCCAGAATTCCTAATGGTTAACTCTGACAGATAATCTCTCAGTTCCATTGTTTTTCCTCAAGACATACTTCTAGAACTCCCTAGATATCTCTAAGAGCCTCTTCCCTTCTTGTTCCTGGCCGTTCTAGTTGTTCTCTGGCCTACTGAATGGATATTATCTTAGGACTCCCCTCCACCATCAGCCAGGGAAAAGTCTTGATTAATCTTTTGTGTTGAATTCCTAGATCTTACGTTGTATTCTTCTTGATTTATTTCGTTCTGTTCTTTAATGACTTCCTGAAATAAGACAAAAGACAAATCTTTGATGGATAGTTTGGCTAGGTCTAGAATACTGTGGTGGGAAAAAATTTTTCTCTTGGGATTTTGAGAGCTCCTAGAAACACATCCTAACTTCCAAGGTACATAATCAGAAATCTGATGACTTTGTTTTCCTTTGGGTGTACCTACTTTATTTTCTCAGGAAGCTTTTTGGATCTCTTTACCCCCATGATCGGATATTTTAAAATAAGGAAACTTGCGGGGCACCTGGGTGGCTCAGTCGGTTAAGCATCTGACTTCGGCTCAGGTCATGATCTCACGGTTCGTGGGTTCGAGCCCCGCGTAGGGCTCTGTGCTGACAGCTCAGAGCCTGGAGCCTGTTTCAGATCCTGTGTCTCCCTCTCTTTCTGCCCCTCCCTCACTCATGCTTTGTCTCTCTCTGTCTCAAAAATAAATAAGCTGTAAATAAATAAATTAATTAATTAAATAAAATAAGGAAACTTGGTTTTCTCTTTTATTTCCATTCAGTGTTTTGAGAACATGGTGAACTCTTCTTTTTCTAATACTTTTATTTATTTTTGAGAGAGAAAGAGATTGAGCATGAGCAGGGGAGGGGCAGAGAGAGGGAGATACAGAATCTGAAGCAGGCCCTAGGCTCTGTGCTGACAGCTCAGAGCCTGACACAGGGCTCGAACTCAAAAATTACGAGGTCATGACTTGAGCCAAAGTCGGATGCTAAACTGACTGAGCCACCCAGGCGCCCCTGTTTCTAATATTTTTTAATTGCCACAGTTATGTTTTTAATTTCCAAGAGTTCTTAAATTTTAAGTAGACCTTATTTTTAGAACACCTTTAGATTTACTGAATAATTGAAAAGACAGTTCCCACATACCCCATATCTAGTTTCTTCTTTTATTAATATCTTACTTTAGTATGGTATGTTTATAACAATTAATGTACCAATATGGATATGTTTTCAATAGCTAAACTTCATAATTTATTCAGGTTTCTTTAGCTTTTATCTAATGTCCTTTTTCTATACCAGAATTTCATCCAGGATACCACATTACTTTAAGGAGCCACGTATGTCTTGACAAACAGTTTCTGAAAATCTTGGTCTTTTGATAACCTTGACAGTTTTGCAGAGTACTGGTCAGGTATTTTGTAGAATGCCTTTGCACTGGAATTTGTCTAATGTTTTTCTCATAGATAAACTAGGATTAAGGATTTGGGGGAGGAAGATCACAGAGATAAAATGCCATTTTTATCCCATTATATCAAGGGTACATAAGCCCCAACATGATTTGTCAGTCTTGATGCTCACCGTGATCACCTGACTGAGGTTATGTTTAAGTTTCTCCTCCATAAAGCTACTATTTCCCTTATTTCTATACTGTCTTTTTTTTTTTTGAAAGAGCTCACTCTTCACAGTCCAGCTTATAGAGTAGGGAGTTGTTCCTGCCTTCTTGTAAGGATAGTGTTTCTATATAAATGATTTGGAATTCTTCTGCAGAAGATATTTTTCTAGTTTCCCCCATTTATTTATTCATTCATTCATTCACTCATTGGTTTACATCAGTATGGACTCATGGATGCTCATTTTACACTTTTGGTTATAATCTGAGAGTTCCTTAGTTTCTTGCTTGAATTGTTCCTTTTTTGGCCATCAGGAAATCTTTCACTTGGCTCCTATGTCCTTTGACAGGGTCTCATCAACACAGGCGGGGCTTTTGTGAGCACTTCCTTACTTTCTGGCACCACAGTATGCTCCAGGCTCATCTTGCATCTTTTCCACCGCGACTCTAAGAATTAATAATTTCTCAAGGAGGGCCAGTCCCTTCAACTGGAGCATAATATTAGAATCCAAGATCTGAGCACTAGCTGTGCCTACCGTACGGAATGCTGTTCCTCCCAGGCTTAGAGTTCATTTTGTTACACACATTTCCCTTTTTTCCAAAACTTTTTTGTAGCACCCTGTTCTGATTTTGTGGATCTCATTTCTCTAGGTATGAGCAAAAGAAAAATAAACTTATTTATTTTTGCTTCCCAAATTATTCTCTACTCCCTCTAGATTTGTTTTGGTTTCTGACTTTCGTGTCTGACCTGTTCTTTAATATCTGAGGGTCTTTAATTGTCCTTTCAGGGGCGCCTGGGGGGCTCAGTCTGTTGAGCGTCCGACTTCGGCTCAGGTCACGACCTCAAGGTTCGTGGGTTCGAGCCCCGCGTCGGGGTCTGTGCTGACAGCTCAGAGCCTGGAGCTGCTTCAGATTCTGTGTCTCCCTCCCTCTGATCTTCTCCTGCTCACGCTGTCTCTCTCTCTCTCTCTCAGAAACTTTAAAAAAAAAATGATAAAATTAAAAAAAATTTAACCACCCGTTCAATAAAATGGTAATTAGAAACAATCTTTGCGGGAGAGTTTGAAAGGACATAAGCAATAGTTGAGACTCAACAACCATAAAGCACAGATTCACTCAACACACATGCGGATACGCAACTAAAAAAGAGTCGGTTCCGCTTGCCTCTGTAAAGCTGGGCGCCAACTCCGTAGGGGAGCCGGAGGCCCGCCCACGCCACCGCATCCCAGGGTGCCTTGCGCGGGGCGCCGACCCCGCTCCATCCCAGGGCGCCTTGCGCGGCGGCCTCGCTCCCGGTGGGCTACGTGCGCGCGCGCGGGCGCCGGAACGTGCTCTCGCGTGGTTGCCCCACCCACTTCGGCCTTGTCTTCGCCGCCGCTGGGACTTGAAGTTCCCGCCAGGTCGCGGCTGGGTGAGAGCGATGCTGCCCGGCCCGCCTTGGCTCTGAGGAGGAGGAGCGGCCCAGGCCCTGGCGGCTTGCTGACGGCGCCGCACCCGGCAGCCATGTCCACGGGGTTCTCCTTCGGGACCAGCACGCTGGGCTCCACCACCGTAGCCGCCGGCGGGACCGGCGCAGGCGGCGGCTTCTCCTTCGGGACCGGGGCGTCTAGGTAACCGCACGTCCTGGCCTTCCTGGCCCGGGGCCTCCCCTCGGGGCTCCGGTGATTGGGCCCGTCCCTCCCCTGCCCCCCCCCCGCCCCCTGGCTTCCTTCCTGGGGGGCCTGGAAGAGCGATACGTGCCCTGGGCGGCTTCGAAGTCCTCAGCGCCTTGCCGGGCCCCCGGCGGCCTGGCCGGCAGGAGGGCGGAGGGCTCGGGGCTGAGGTCCCAGAGTTCACGATGGTTCACGTTCACACCTTGTTCCTACCGAGGGGGTTGGGGGGGGGTGTCGGGGGGGGGGGTCAGGCTGCGTGGAAGGGCCTGGGATGTCATTCCGAGCCCGAGAGCGGCAGCCCGGGGACAGGGCGAATGGGGGGCGAATGGACGACTTTGGGGCTTATTTGGGGCTTTAGAACAAAGTTAACAGAATTGTAAGGACAGTTAAAAGTGTCTCGCCGAGAATTCGGGTTTCATTGCGGGGTATACGGTTTGGGACATTCCAGTGCTTACTGATTTCGTGGGGTTTTAAACGAGCTCAGGTCTATGCAACCTCATGGGACCCTCTCCTTTGTTATTGTTGTTTCTTGTTTTAGACGCTTTTTGACAGCATTTATTGGTGATGATTTTGAACATGGTGTGCAGGTTAGTGGACGCGAGCTGTCGTCGTCATGACTCACACCGTCGTCTACTTAACGTTCAGAAGTGAAGCGTGTTTCTCGTTTTTTGTGCCACCTGCTAAACCACCAGCTCAGATGGGGGCGAAACAGCTCGCAGAGGTCCAGAGGCCACTAGAATGGCTAGAGATCCTTGTGATGACAGATTTAATCTTGAGAATTCAGTCTTTTTTTTTTTTAATTTTTATTTATTTCTAGGAGAGAGAGAGAGAGACAGCGTGAGCAGGGGAGGGTCAGAGAGAGAGGGAGTCACAGACTGAAACAGGCTCCAGGCTCTGAGCTGGCAGTCAGCACAGAGCCCGACGCGGGGCTCGAACCCACGAACCGCGAGATCATGACCTAAGCGAAAGTCGGATGCTCAGACGACTAAGCCACTTAGGCGCCCCAGAATTCAGTCTTTTTTAAGGTAAACGTGGAGGAGTTAAGTCGAGAAGAATGCCTAGAAAGCGTTTCAAGGTGTCTTGTGAAGTTTGAGGAATGCGGTGGTAGATTAAAAGGGCAAAAGTAACCTTCTTGTGTTAAAAAAAAAAAAAGGGGTGGTCACAGACTGCGTAGTCAACTATAAAATCTGGGAGTCTCTCTCCTTGAATACCACCTCCTTTTCTCTCACTCTGCACACTGAATCAGCAAAGCCTCATAATTTTTAATTATTCCCTTTCCGTTTGCTTCCTTTCCAGTTGCTGCCAGCCTCTTACAGGCACTGGTCATTCAGGGAACACGTGTTTATTGAACACACTCCTGCCGAGGAGGCTCTGTTTTAGTGGGGCAGATAAATAAGAGTCCTGCTCTCCTAAAGTACTTGTGATTTCGGCCAGCTTTTCCACCTGTGATCCTTCTCGTGTGGTGAAAACTATAACGTCCTCTCCTCCTCAGATGTGTTCAGAGGTTCCTAGTTGCTGTCTCAAAAATCTACTTTGATGACCATCTTTTTTCACCACATTATAGCCAGAGTGATTTTTTTAAAAATTCCAATTGCCTCCTTTTAATGATTTTTCATTATCCTCGGAATGAAGTAAAAATAAATCTTAACCATAATCTGCAAGACCCAGATAATCTGGAACCTCTTCAGACTCATCCTGAGCCCATATTCTCCTCTTCTCAGCTTGCTTCAATTCAGTGATGCGGATGTATTTAAAGAATTATTTTCTGTCACCAGCCCATACAGGCATACAAGTAACTGAAGCTAAATTTCAAAGAAAGATACTCGCCCTCACCTTACCTGAGACACTGATGTTTTCTGTTCTGTTCCATTTCGTTATTATATTTTAATTAAAACTACATTTTTAAGGGCTCCTGGGTGGCTCAGTCAGTTAAGCTTCCAACTTTGGCTTGGGTCATGATCTCACGGTTCGTGGGTTCGAGGCCCCCATTGGGCTGTGTGCTGACAGCTCGGAGCCTGGAGCCTGCATCAGATTCTGTGTCTCCTCTCTCTGCCTCTCCCCACTCATGCTCTGTCTCTCTCTCTCAAAAAGAAAATGTCTGTTTTTTTGAGAGAGAAAGAGAGTGAACGGGGGAGGGGCAGAGAAAAAGAGAGAGGGAGACACAGAATCCAAATAGGCTCCAAGCTCTGGGCTTGAACTCAGTGGACCATGAGATCATGACCTGAGCCAAGTCTGACGCTTAGCGGACTGAGCCACCCAGGCGCCGCTTCATTTTGTTTTTTAAAATGCTGGTTGTGATCTACTAAATTGATGTTATACTTCGATGGGTCCTAATCTTAGTTTGAAAAACACTCCTGTAGCAATTTTGGTATTTTCTTAGTTCCTCAGGTGGGCGTGGCCAAACCTCTTCTCTCTTGGATCAGTTCCCTCCTGTTGGAATTCCCCAACCACCTTGGGTGCCCAGCTAGTGTCTACTTTGAGGACTCAAATGTTTACCTATCCAGAGAGGTCTTTTTAGATCTGCAAGTGTAGAGGACAGAAACGTCCTCAGAGTACCCTGTGACACAGCGCCTAGCACAGTTGTGATCAGTTCATTAAGTGTTTTGTTGACTTATGTTCTGATCCCAGCAATAGAATGGAAGCCCCTTGAAGGCAAAGACCATTTCGTACTGTTTTTTCAGTGGACACAGTGGAGCTCAGTACATATTTTGTGAGTGAATGAATGATTGGTTCATTCTCTCACTGGAAACTTCCTGAAGCCAGGATCTGAGTCTTATTTACCACTCTGTCCTCAGTCCCTGTGACAAGTCCTGGCACATGAAAAGGGCTTTCATAAATCCTTGTTGAATGACTGAGGAAAGGAGTTGTTAGTAATGAACTAGAAACACGCACTCAGTCTTTAGAAAGGCTTAGATAAGTGAATGAAAGGAGGCAGGCTGACATCTGTCTAGTGGAGTGCTGGTTGGAAGGCCTAACTACCCCTATGCCATCTAGTGACTTGGTCTCTTTAGGTGAATCATTTTAGCGAAGTTACTCTCGAAGCCTCAGTTCCCACATCTGGAAAAGGGGTATAATATATTTACCCCACAGAGTTGTCAGATAAAGCATGTAAAAGTATTTAGCACCGTATCTCGCACTTGGGAAGCACTCGGTGAATGTTACCCCCTAAGTCCACATTAGGACATGCTGGAGAAGTTAAAAGAGTATTCCTGACCTGCTGGAGTCAACTTGGCTTTTCTTGAACACATCTTAAAGAGTCGCTGGCAGATAAGGTTGAGGCTAGGTTGAGGCAAAAATTGGTTATGTCTGGGGTGGCTTTTGTTTTTCATAAAGTAAATTTCTCTGCCACAGAGAACTTTCTCTTTTACTTTTCTAAGTAAGAAGATACCACTTTGATGTATTTCTCTGGTAATGTTTTCAAATTTAGTTATGAAACACTTCATTGTGTCTTCAGTTACCGAGAAATTTTAAGTATTTTAATTGTCTAAAAATACATACTTTCACTGTACGTCTTTTGTATATTTATGGAATGACAGTAAAACCAAACGGGGTCATTGATTTATTTGGAAGACAGGGAGCATAATAAATATTTTCTTAATTTGATGTTTGCACAATTTGCCAAGAGTGTCTATTTAAATACAAAAAAATGTTTATTTTTGAAAGAGAGAGAGCAAGTGCTCTGGGGTGAGGAGGGGCAGGGGGAGAGAGGGAGAGAGAATCCCAAGCAGGCTCAGTGCTATCAGCGAGGGAGCCTGACACCTGGCTTGAGCTCCTAAGCCACAAGATTGTGACCAGAGCCGAAATCAGGAGTCGGACACTTAAGCAACTGAGCCACCCAGTTGCCCCCTAGAATACCCTTTTAATTCAGTTGATTAAGTGTTTAAGATTTGTCCTTTGTTGGTGAAACCTTGTGGCCTGTTCTGCCAGCCCTCTGTACTTCACACCTGGGATACACATACACCTGTGCTCATGGAAATCGTTTTGAAATCAATGATAAACTAAGAAAGAGGGCATAGGCTTTTTTTCCTACTCAGTGTTGATGACTGATTTCAAGTTCTACTTCCTTAGTAAGTTCTCTATTCTCACAGTGATTAGCTGGCATAATACCTTGTACATAATGTGTTTAGTTGAATTTATAGGTGTTCTTATGATGACAGTAGTAACATTTATTGAGTGAAGTTAATTTGCCAGTCTCTTAATATTTGCAAAAAATCTGTTAAGTGGGCACTGATATTCCCATTTTGCAGGTGAGGAAATAGAGAATCATGAAGGCCAACTAAGGTCACACAGGTATGAGGACGCTGGGGTGCTGTCGCTGGAACCCGACCATAACGCTACGGCTTTTTTAAGTGGAAACAGCCCAGACTTTTAAACTTTTTAAACCTGACCTTGGCTTCTCTTAGGGTGATTATGTCTGTGTGAAGGTGAGGGAGAAGTGATAAAGGTACCTCTGTAGGATGAACGGGGTCTCCCATTGTTACATGTTGAGATATTCTCTCCTAACTCTCCTACACAATTTTTGAAGTAGCAGATTGTCAAGATTTTAGATAGCAAGTTTGAGCCCCTGAGTTTTTTTTTTTCTTTCTTTTTTCTTTTTCTGAGAGAGAGAGAGCGCATGAGCAGGGGAGGGTCAGAGAGAGAGGGAGACACAGAATCTGAAACAGGCTCCAGGCTCTGAGCTGTCAACACAGAGCCTGACGTGGGGCTCGAACCCACCAACTGTGAGATCGTGACCTGAGCCGAAGTCGGATGTTTAACCGACTGAGCCACCCAGGCGCCCCAAGCCCCTGAATTTTGATAAGAACAGTTGAAAGTTGTGAACTTTGTTCACATCACTTGTTATTATCAGCTGTTCTTTTTCAGCTTTCAGAAACCCTGAAGAGAATTTCTGGTGATGAACGCAGTCTGGATCGAGGGTACTTTTGCTTTGCATTTTACTCTTGCCGGGTTACCTTTGAGCCGTCTCCTCTTCTCACCCCCACTGCCAGTTCTTACTGCTGTTTTGTGGCAAGATAACTGACTGCACCCTCCTCGCCCCCTCACCCCAACTCCATGAATAGGGTAGTATAGCTATAGAGAGGTAGTGAAGAGCACTTTTCTATTTCTGGGTATGTTATCTTCCTTTATGTTATTAGTAGTTGGGGAAGAACAACTGTGTTTAGAAATGTGAACTGTCCATGAGTCACTCAAGAAGAAAATGATCCACATTCATAAGATTTCCCTATGGCCATTTGAAATTATGTGGGCTTTTTTTTTTTTTTTTGAGAGAGAGACCGTGTGAGCAAGAGAGGGGCAGAGAGAGAGGGAAACACAGAACTCGAAGCAGGCTCCAGGCTCTGCAGACTCTGAGCTGTCAGCACAGAGCCCGTTGTGGGGCTCAAACTCACAAACCATGAGATCGTGACTTGAGCCAAAGTCGGACACTTAATCAACTGAGCCACCCAGGCGCCCCCAAAATATGCTAGGTTTCAATAAAACTTCTGAAAGCAGAATATGTGTGATACTGTTTATGGTTACTTGGGATCTGAAATCCTAATCGCTGTGGATTATGCTTTTTTTTTTGAAGGCCAGTATTGTATTTTAGTAGAGTAGAAAATATGCTACTTTTTTAAAAAATGTTTATTTGGGAAAGAGAAGGAGGCACAGAATCCAAAGCGGGCTTTGCACTACCAGCACAGAGCCTGATGTGGGGTTCGAACTCAAGAGCCATGAGATTGTGACCAGAGCTGAATTCGGACACTTAAGTGACCAAGTCCCCCGGGTGCACCCCCCTATTGTATTTAAGGCTACTTTTATATGTGACTGATTTTTAAAGAGAACAGGAAAATATTTGAGTTTGGTGGGCTAAAAATAGTTCCTTTCGTATTCTATGGGGGCATATTGCATATGTTAAATGAACGAAGGGAACCTTGAACTTTTATTTTTCTTAAAGAGATACTGGCTCTAATAGACTTGACTTTGTGTTTTTTGTAACAAGCAACCCTTCGGTGGGGCTCAACTTTGGAACTCTTGGAAGCACCGCCGCTCCTGCAGCCACATCTGCTTCCTCGGGCGGATTTGGAACCGGGCTCTTTGGACCGAAATCTACCACTGGCTTCACTCTGGGAGGAACAAATGCAGGTGAGCAGGGTCATCACGTTTGCAGGGAGTAGGTGTGGGCTGTTCGTTTTCAAGTTCTGTTCTCTGTCTCTTCCCTTTATGAGGATTGTCCTTGGTGACGGAGCTAAAAAATGGTAAATACTAAGATGAAAAAATATATTGGATGTGGAATTAAGGACCAGTGATAGGCCCAGCTTGGTTATAACCTATTTTTGTATAAAGAAGGAAAACCTACACATTTAAAGAATTACATAAGATCTCTCTTAAGAAAAAAAATTTTTTAGTGTATTTGACACAAAGATGGTATAGCTCTTTAAATATAATGAATTAAAGTAACTTAATTTTTATATTAGATTATATAATGCAGCATTTTACCTTAGTCAAGATAAGTTTACCCATTTGGACTGAACTAATTGAGCAGATGTGAGAGAGTTCGCATCTATTGTATTATAATGTTATAATTTACCTTCCTAAGACATGTCTTAAGTTTTTGTATTATTAAAACAATTGTTTCACTGGGAAAAGGGTGAGAGTTCAAGGTTTCTGGTAGACATTTCAATAATAAGTTGTTTTTAGTACTCATGGGTATTTATCAAGTTAAAAATATATTTCACTGGTACTGCCATTTAAAAAGTTTACTTCCTTATTGACTTTTTATTCTCTACTCTCAGGGCCTCTTGGTCTCTGTTACCGCCTTTTGCATTGACCTTCCAGCCTTGATTGCACCTTTTCACGGCCACACATAGACAATGTAAGAACTGCAGGAGTAAATGTGAGACCAGCCAGTGAGCGCCCTGAGATAGCTCTGTGTTTTGCTTGGAGTAGCTTTTTCTTCTCCTTGCCTAAGTTTGTTACAAGCATTAGTTGTTTGCATTTTATAAATTTTATTCCCTAATTAATCAAAGTCACATACAGCTTATGATATGAAAACCAGTGGTGTAGGAAGAACATTTGTGTTAGGGGTTATGGCGGGAGATACTGGCCGTCTGAGTATTGTAACCACGCCCTGAAGATGGTTAAGTCTGCCCTTGTGATAACCCCCAAATGCCATCTTCCACTGACGAATTAAATTTTATTTCTCTTTTTGTCCCCAGGAATAGCAACAACTATAACTACAGGATTAACTCTGGGTAAGAATTTTTGAGGAAAGTTCCCAGATCTGTGGTTTTCTACTCTTCTCAGTATCTCACAGAGCTGGGGTATAGAAGGAAGCATGTAAGGAATCATGGACACCGACTCCTCACAGAACCTTTCAGTATTGGGAGTTTTTTAAACAGTCAGTGACTTTAATTCAGAATAAAAGCCTTAAACACAGAAATGATTTTTCTGTGGAAATTCCACATTGCAGTTTGCAGTTATTTGAGTTCTTGTAGTGAAAAAAGCACCACACTGTAGGTCAGAAGTCTTGGGATTAAACCCTGCTTGCACCTCCAAGTCCTTGTGAGGCCTTAGGTAGTCATGTAGTGTCTGGCAGCTTTTAGTTATCTATAAAGTGAAGGTTTTGGACCAAAAAGGTTTTGGCTTCCCTTCTGGCTCCAAAACATGCTAGTTCTGTGTAGTGGTACGCCAGCTGGGCCCTGAGTTACTAAGACGGCGGTTCATAATGTCAGGAAGTGAACGCGTGCAAGGACAGTGAGCAACCTCAATTAAAATTCAAGTTATTAAAGTTAAAGAAAACGTTGAAATAAAGATCGGTGGACTTTCTTCATTTGGATGCTACTCACCTGATATCAGCAGAAAGCATAACACATCTGTTTACTACCAGAAGTTTGGACAGGATTGGCCTCAAGGGCAAGCAGTTGGGTTCTTTTACTTTCTGTGACGGTGGGACCCATACAGGATTTCACAGTGCTGTACTCTGGCAGGAACCTCTGGTTGTGGTAAGGACAATCCAGAAGCTTAGCTTCTGGCTTCTTTGTGCTCTCAGAGGAAGCCAGAATGCAGGTGGTTATACGTTTCTTCATTCAATATTTTTGAGCAGCTTCTGCTTCCTAGCTGTGTGTCCTTAGGTATACATGATGCTTTGAGCATCTAGTATTAGCTGTCGGTGTGGTGATGGTACTGGTGGTGAGGATGTCCTGACGGTGTCGACTACAGAGGGCCTGAGCAAAGCATTCCCTGTATTACGAGGGGAAGGTGACAGGCAGGTGTAATAATATGGTCTTGTGTGATCTGATAAATGCTTTAACAGGTATGAAAGGCACAAAGGAAGGAAGAGGAAGAAAAGAGTAGAAGTTTATTTGGATGGCAGGAAACATTCCTGTTGGAGGAACGGAAAGTGCAAAGGCCCAGTTTTAAAGGGATCCAGGGAAATAAGAAAAATACTTGGTTCTTAGAGTGTAGGATTCCGAGGTGGGAATGGTACAGAGAAGGGGCTGCACGAGCAGGTTGGGACAAGACAGGAGAGGTGGCTGTGCGCCAGCCATCTAGGCTCTGGTGTGGGGATGGCAGAGAGCTCCTGGGAGCCTTCGGTCAGGGAGAGTCAGCAGGGTATTATTTCTTGTTGCTATTACCTCTTGTTTTTAAAGTAACTAAATAATTCAAAGAATAGAGGTTAGAAGGCCTGATAGCACAGAGACAAATTAAGAGGTTGTGATAATAGTTCTTGAGAGGCAGATGGTTGGAGCTAAGGTTTCTGAGGATGCTTATGGTCCAGGGATGTTTCCGGAGTAGGGTTCGTCGCGGCCTCAGGGACGGTCGTGGTTTCTGGCACGGGCAACTGAGTGGACCCTGGCAGGGGGTTAGGGGTGGTTTTGTCTAGGGAGGTGCAGAGGTGCAGAGGGACATCCAGGTAGAGTTGGGCAGGGGTGACTCTGGGAGGTGTAATTTTAGGCCATGTCTCTGGTTGAAAATCTTCAATTGGGAAGAAAGGAAGCAGGCCGGCGGCCACAGGCAGCACCATTTAGGAGGCAAACAGAGGAAGGACAAGGAGATGGACAGAAGGAGACTGAAAGGAGTAGCGGAAGCAGAGACACAGGAGAGGAAGCGGGAGAGACAGAGACACAGGAGAGGAAGCGGGAGAGAAGCGTGGTTTATCAGCCTCGGTTGGGAGCGGTATTTTTCTCCTGAGTATAAAGGAAGGGTAAATGCTATTTTAGGTAAATTCAGGGGTGGCACTGAAATTGGATTTCAACGTTATCACATTGATTGGACTTTTCTTTTGCTTTTCTTAAATCACAGGACCATCATTTAAGTATTTGTCCTGATTTAGTCCCAGGTTTTATATTTTACTTCTTATGCAACTACAAGTACATGTATCCTTGTTCTATCTGCAAGGGTAGAGAGACTCTGTCTTGTAGGGGTCCTGATTGAGACTGTATAATGCATACACGGTTATGGTAAAATAGGGTCCGTTTGTTTGTTTGTTTGACACAGGAACGCCAGCCACGACATCTGCGTCTACAACGGGTTTCAGTTTGGGATTCAGTAAACCTGCCGCCTCTGCCACACCATTTGCTCTCCCTGTCGCGTCTACCTCAGCGAGTGGTCTTACTCTTTCGTCTGCTCTCACATCCACTCCTGCAGGTGAGGCAGAAGAGAAGAAGCCACATCTTATGGTGGAGTTTTATTTTGTTTTGTGGTTAGTGAACGTAGGTGTCCACCTTTATTAAAGATAACTTCAGTTTGGAGAGTTTTTATTTCAGCCATTAAGCAGTTTCGACCTAGTAAATTACTGATTTGTGAAGAAGGTCATCACTGGTCCTAAAAGCAGCAGGGCTGTCTTGGAGGTTAGTCTCGATTTACAGAGCACAGCAGGGACCGGGCGAGAGGCAAAATGTAAAATTATTAATATCCACTTTGTTTTCAAGGAGCATTTTGGTGACAGGCAAGGGTAAATAATTTGCATGAACATTGCCTGGCTTAGGATTCATTCCATTTCAAAGACGAAGTTGATGTCCTGGGTTGAAAAACTCTCTATTGTCTGCAGTCACTTACCTGACACCATTGTAGTATTACCCAAAACTCTTATTTCTGTCATTCGGTTTTTACTCTGAAGGTACTATTTCTCTTTATTCTTAGGGGTGTGTGTGTGTGTGTGTGTGTGTGTGTGTGTGTGTATTTTATCTTTAATGAGTAGTTTTTCCTAAGTGAATTTTATTACGGACATGGAGTGTTTTTGGTTTTGTTTTTTTTAGGAAGTGTTATTTTCTCTGATGTTCTTAGACATGTTTCCTTATGAAACCTTACAATTGCATTTTTGTCTAGCATCTACAGGATTTACCCTAAATAACTTGGGTGGAACAACGGCCACAACTACTACTGCATCAACAAGCCTCTCTTTAGGGGGAGCCTTAGCTGGTCTGGGAGGCTCGCTTTTCCAGAGTTCGAATACAGTAACATCAGGTAATTGATGGTATTTACTTTCCAAAAATAGTAAATATTTATACTTAAATTTACTTTATCTGTATTTTAGCCTTTTGAACAGATCATTTTTTTCCTTTAACCTATGGATTTTTTGTTTAGTATGAATACTGAATTAAAAAATGTTTTTCATACATAATTAGACATTGTAGCCATGTAGAAATAAATTTTTCTGCTCCTCAGTATTTTTATTTATTTTTTATTTAGCGCACATGTGCGGGGGAGGGGCAGGAAGGGAGAGAAAATCCCACTCCACACCCAGCACAGAGCCTGACGTGGGGATTAATCTTATGACTGCAAGATCATGACCTGAGCTGATATCAAGAGTAGAACACTTAACCATTTGAGCCACCCAGGGGCCCCTCAGTATTGACTGACTAGATAAGGAAGCAAAGAGGGGCCTGTTTAAGGAGGAGTAAACTATTCTAGAGAAACTTGTCTTTTTCATAAAAGGCAGTTGCTTAGTCTGAATCATTTAGTATCTAAATTCATTGTAAGACAACTTGACCTTTTAAGCTTTGGTTGTAAGAATCGCTTTCCATTAAATAGATCAGGAAATGGTATTAGAATGTTTTGAAAGCAAAGTTTTATTTTTTATTATTATTTTTTAAATATTTTTATTTATTTCTAGGAGAGAGAGAGAGAGACAGCGTGAGCAGGGAAGGGTCAGAAAGAGAGGGAGATACAGACTCTGAAATAGGCTCCAGGCTCTGAGCTGGCAGTCAGCACAGAGCCCGACGTGGGGCTCGAACCCACGAACCGCGAGATCATGACCTAAGCTAAAGTCGGACGCTTAACCGACTAAGCCACCCAGGCGCCCCTGAAAGCAAAGTTTTAAAACAACATTAAATTTATTCTAGTCAGGCAAAATATTAAAGTATCAATTCACTTGGCAGAGAAGACTTAATGTTTTCTATCTTGGATTGATTTTTCATTTCATGCTTATTTTGGAATTAGCCTCGTATTAAGGATTCTGCAGATGTTTTGAATATTAGGGGTTTATAATAGAGGAAACATGATACTATATATAATGTAATACAGTAATAGAATGCAGGAAAGCCAGTGAGGCTAAGTGGAAGTGAGAAAAGCTTTCCTCTGATTTGAAGACATTGTATAATTATCTCACATAGCACTTAGAATCAAGAATTTCTGTTTGGAGTGCCTGGATGGCTCAGTCAGTTAAGTGTCCAACTCTTGATATTAGTTCAGGTCTTGATCTTGCAGTTGAGGGATAAAGCCCCACATCCGGCTCTGTGCCGAGCATGGAACTTGTTTGGGATTCTTTCTCCCCCCTCTCTCTACCCCTCCCCTGCTTGTGTTCTCTTTCTCTCCTGCCCCCCCATGCCCCCCCCCCAGGAAAGAGTTTCTGTTTGCTGGGGCACCTGGGTGGCTCAGTCGGTTGAGTATCCAACTTTACCTCAGGTCATGATCTCATGGTTGTGAGTTCAAGCCCTGTGTCGGGCTCTGTGCTGACAGCCTGGAGCCTGCTTCGGATTCTGTGCCTCCTTTCTCTGCCCGTCCCCCACTCATGCTCTGTGTCTCTCTCATTCATGCTCTGTGTCTCTCTCTCAAAAATAAATCAACATTAGAAAAATTAATAAAAAATGTTTCTGCTTCCTAACCTAATTTATGAGCTAGGGAAAGTTGATAACATGTTGAAATCACAGAATTTCCAATAATACATACATTCATTTATAATGGCTATTTAATTTTCAGAAGTTTTGCTGAACACCTAATATGTGTCTAATAATTGGTATGTGGGAGAGTTTTCTGTTAAAGTTATGGTTCTTTTGTGTTCTCTATTCAAATACTATAATTTAATGAAGAAACTCTGGGTCAATGGAAAAGGGAAAAAGGAGCTTGTCAGGATAACCTGTAGAAATTTGTAGTGTTCAGGTTAGCTTTGATCTTTCAAATACTTATCTTTGTCACTGTTGTCGAACCTGGTAGGTATTCAGAGTGTCTTCTAGTAACCACAGTCACTGGATGACTAACATACATTTCCTTGCAGGGTAAATATTTCAACATCTTTCCCAAAGATTCCTAGGAGAGCAAAACACAAAGATAGTAGAAAGGGGAGGTCGAGCATTATTTTTGTGTCTGCTAATGAATTTTTAGGTCTGTTCTAATTTTTCTTAAGCTCTAGACACACATTAGTGCTTAATTTGTGGTTATGCTAACCTAAAGGTGCCATTGATTTTAAAAAATTAACGTCTATTTAGCTGTGGTTTTTTTTCCACACATTGCCAGTATTTGAATCCAGCTTTCAGTCATCCTGTGCTCATATCCAGTACATCCTACTGTTTCCTCTGTTTTTAAAATACATAGCATATTGTTCAAAAAGAACCACAGTTGTATCAGCTGCGAATGCAAGGATTTCTAAGATTTACCAATGCAGGGTCTTTAAAATTTTGCTACTTGATTCACAAGCATACATTAATGATTTAAGATTAAGTATAGTCTCTTTAGTTCCTTTTGTCAGTGAGGTAGGATTTAAATAAATGAATCCTACTTTTTTTTTTTTTAAGTTTTATGAAAAGAACTTAGGAGTATGAAATCTTGATGATGTTTGAACTATAAGGCTTCCAACTATCAGTTCTTTAAGTTTCATCAATAGTAAAACTCTTTGCTTTAAATTAATACTGAAACCTTACAAATCATTACTATTTTATTTATCCATCCTTCCCTAGCTTTATGGAGGTGTAGCTGAGAAATAAAATTGTAAGATATTTAAAGCGTAGAGCGTGATGCTTTGATATATACATATACGTTGTAAAAGGATTCTGCTATGAAGTTAATTCACACATCTGATTTTAAAAGTATACAATTCTAAAGCCTGATTGGAAGACATGAAGTGTTCACCTGAAAATAACAAGCTAAAACTGCTTTTGTAGAGAGGGTTTAAAAAACAACAAATAAAATGGATTGTTCACCTGTATCGAATTAACATACACCCTCTGATCCTTCTGGTAAAGAAAAATTGATACAGGTCCATAAATACACAGGGCAGAGTGATGTGGTGGTCAGCGGGTGGAGTAGGAGAATGGGCAAAATGGGCAAAGGGGAGTGGCAGGTCCAGGCTTCCAGTTGTGGACTGAGTAGATCACAGGGATGAAGGGGACAGCCTAGGGGATATAGTCGGTGCTATTGTAATAAGGTTCTATGGTGACAGAGGAGTAGCTACATGTGCCGTGAACATAGCATAGCATGTAGGCTCGTCGGATTGCTGTTGTACACCTGACGCGAGTGTGACGTTATGTGTCAGCTACACTTAAAAAAAATTACCTAGAAAGTAAAGAAATTAAAATGACATCATCTGGGGCGCCTGGGTGGCTTAGTCAGTTAAGCGTCCGACTTTCACTTAGGTCGTGATCTCGCGGTTCGTGGGTTCGAGCCCCACGTCGGGCTCTGTGCTGACTGCCAGCTCAGAGCCTGGAGCCTGTTTCAGTCTGTGACTCCCTCTCTCTCTGACCCTCCCCTGCTCACGCTGTCTCTCTCTCTCTCTCCTAGAAATAAATAAAACATTTAAAAAAATAAATAAATAGGGGCGCCTAGGTGGCTTAGTCGGTTAAGCGTCCGACTTTCGCTCAGGTCATGATCTCACAGTTCGTGGGTTCGAGCCCTGTGTCGGGCTCTGTGCTGACTGCCAGCTCAGAGCCTGGAGCCTGTTTCAGTCTGTGACTCCCTCTCTCTCTGACCCTCCCCTGCTCACGCTGTCTCTCTCTCTCTCTCTCCTAGAAATAAATAAAAATATTTAAAAAAATAAATAAAATGATATCATCTGAACTACGTGTACCATTGAATCCCAGCAAGACTCTCAGTCTTTGTCCAGAGCATACTCTGGACTTGTTTCTTGTTCTTTGCTTAAATCAGGTATGAAGAAAACCAGGATCCGACTTAAAAGCATTTTAGGGCTTTGGTCATTAAGGTGAAATTATGAAGGCTTTCAGTGAACTTGATATGTAATATTTGGCTTATTTTTAGGACTTGGACAGAATGCCTTGGGCTTGACTTTGGGAACCACGGCAGCTACTTCAACTGCTGGCAACGAAGGCCTTGGAGGTATAGACTTTAGTAGCTCATCAGATAAGAAGAGTAAGTAACGTCCTATTTTATGTCCTTATAGTAACTTAAATTCCTGGGTCTGGAGGATTAAGTACATATTAAGTAGTAAAGTTTTGACTTTTAAATTTGTTTGTATTTTATTTCCCAAATTGTTCATGTAGTGTGTGTTTGAGTTTATTTTTATAGAAAACTGAGATTTGTATGTGCAGATGTCTTAGGTAGCCATCTTCACGCGTAGGTTGATACATATTCTTAAGTTGGGATCACGAACGCATAGTTGACACCTGAATAACACGCTTTGAACTGTGCGGGTCTGAACTTATCGTGGGTTTTTTCCAATAAGTAGCCGTACTGTAAATGTGTTTTCTCTTGCTTATCATTTTCTTAATAGCATTTTCTTTTCTCTAGCTTCTCTTACGGTAAGAATGCAGTATATAATACACGTAACATAAAAAGCGTGTGTTAATTGTTTACACTATTGGTAAAGCTTTGGGTGAAAAGTAGGTTATTAGTCGTTAAGTTTTGGGGGAGCCAAAAGTTATATGTGTATTTTCAACTGCCTGTGAAGTTGGCACCCATTCACCCCTGTGTTGTTCAAAGCTCAGCTGTATTGCTTTATAACCTATTCTTCCTCATGTGTTCTGTCAGAAGCATTGGTCAATTCAGTAATTCTTTAGAAATATTTTAATGCAACTTAATATCAGTTTTGTGAATGGATGTATCATTAGTCAGCCATCATTCTATTATTAACAACTTGTTTTTAGGTCTTCTGGGAAGTATCACTGTATTGGCTATCCTTACAGGGAAAGGCAGCATACTATTGTAATTTAAAGATGTACACTCGAGCTGAAATCGCCTGGGTTCCGAGCTGCTCAGCTATTCACAAGCTCTGTGACCTTACTCAAGTTATTTGTCCCTCTGGGCTTTAGTTTCTTTATCTGTAAAGTGGGGCCAAAATAACAGTACCTACTTTGTCATGTTGGTTTGAGGACATTACTTTCATAAAACTTCAGCAGAACCAGGCGCTTAGTGAATGCTGTCTAGGTGTTTGCTGTTATAAATTTTCAGTTAATTTTTTAGGACAAATACCTAGAAGCTGAATCATTAGAGAGAGAGACAGTTTTAGAAACTCTTAGTATATGTTGTGAAATTACTTTCTAGAAAGGTTTTACCAATTTATTTCCCACCAGCCAGTATGAAAATGCCCTTCCCGCTCTGCTTCTGCCAGGCTGAATATTCTTTTTAGAAATTGTCAATCCACATTCATTTTCAAAAGTGTTTTAGTGTTGTTGGTCCCACGTGTGTGATTTTTTTGTTTTGTTTTGCAATGTCTCTTCTGCCTCTGATGCAAACACGCTCCACTAGGGTATATACATGCATATTGCATTAAAAGCCCCAGAAGGATCTGAAGTGCGGTAACGGATGAAGGTGTAATTTACACTGTGTCCATATGTGAGAACTTTTTGTTTTGGACATGGTTTTTATTGTAAAGAGATACCATGGTGAAGTACTATCCTAAAAGTTGGCAAAATCTTTTTTTTTTTTAAGTTTATTTTTATTTTGAGAGTGAGAGAGCACACATGCGCAGAGCTGAGGTAGGGCAGAGAGACAGGGAGAGAGAGAATCCCAAGCAGGCTTGCACTCCATCTGCCACACAGTAAGGTCATGACCTGAGCTGAATGTTTAACCAATTGAGCCACCCAGGGGCCCCAGGCAAAATCCTTTTAAATTTAGGAAATTTAGGATTATTTTTCTTTGATTGAAAATTGACTAATTTATAAACGTAGGGGTCTATCTCTTGTTTTTACTTAGTTTTCTTTGTAGCAACTTAGCAACTTTCTAAGATATGTAGAAAAAACCCTAGGTATTTTAGCAGCTTATTTTTTTACTCAGCCAGAGCAGCTGGGTCCCCTCCAACTACTTTTATTCGTGAAACTGCTTCCCTCTTTATTGTACTTGCTGTCAGGCTCCATATGAAAGAGCTGAGTGAGGCAAAGGGGTAAGAGGAATGCAGGGAGTTAATCTCCCCTCTTTTCCCCTGCCCTCCCCCCTGCATCTTACTCTCATACCTGAGTGAGAATTGAACAGAAGGAAGCGCATGGGACTTCATGTACCCCGTCTAGTTCCCTTTACTCTGCTGTTCTGTGTCGGGGGATTCTGTTTTCACCTGAAGGATTTCTCTGCCTTTCTGTTAGCGGTATCAGTTCGCCTGGACCTGCGTTACTGGGTTGAATCGGGTGAAGAGTGCTAGGAAGCAAAGTTCTGTGAGGAGGGGCAGCCTGGAGCTAGACCGCCAGGTGAGGATGAGCTGAGCCCTCTTGAAGAACCGCTGCAAGACCAGCGTAGCTACACGACAGCAAGATTGGATTCCGGAGGTCACGAAGGGCCTTGTGTGCCACGTTAGTTCAGGAGTTTAGTATTACACGGAGGACAGTTGAGACCTACCGGGGCTTTGTTGTGGATCGTGTGACATGAGAGCTGTATTTGAGGAAGAGTGTGAAGCCGGCCCTGTGGGGGAGGAAGTGCAGGCGGGCGAGGACCTGCGCGGATCTAGTAGGAGGCTGTTCCAGCAAAGGGAGACCGAGTCAGGGACCCTCGTGGGCTGAAACAGACCTGGGTTTTATAGATACGGGCTTGTCTGTATACAGATTCTGTCTCTGTAAGAAAAGTGGAATGTCAAAGAGCAAAATAGTGCATTCATCAATAAAAAAGTTGAACTATTTGGGGGAAAAATTAAATCCCTGCTTTCTATTACTGTGTCTCGCCAAGTTGGAGACCCCCATCTGGAGGACGTGGGCACCAGCTTCAGAGAGGTTCCACCATGAAGGAGAAGAATCTTAGAATCTGTAAAATACAAAATATGGAAATATAAATTATAGTTGGATTAAAGAGGCGAACAAAAGAAACCCCATGGACGAAGGCAGAAAGTAAATAACAAATTGGGATTAAAATGCCTGATTTCTAGATGCTTGTATTTTCACATTTTAACCTCTGAAATTGAGATGCATCTTAAAATTAGGATCTAATTTTAGAAATACATGAAATATATGGGACAAAGAATTAAATATTTAATGTTGAAATAGCTCTTAGAAGCGGTAAGAAAAATACCTCAGAGATACACAAATAGCCTGAATAGGCTGTTTACAAAAGGAGAAATATGCTTCTCTAACATTTGAAGTATTTTACTTAGACCTGTCAGAAATATGAATTTGGTTTACAATTAAGTGGCCTTTTCCACTTAAATACGGGCATCGATCTTTTTTTAAAAGCTGTTCATTGCTGAGAGTCTGATGGAAAAGGTACTTTTTTTTAAGTTTATTTTTCATTTATTTTGAAAGAGTGAGCGTGAGCAGTCTAGGGGCAGAGGGGAGGAGAGACTGAGAGAGACTCTTAACTGACTGAGCCACCCAGGCAATTTGGAAAAGTACTCTTATTCATAACAGTTGGGAGGATAAATTGGAACAGTTGTGTTAAAGGGTCAGTTCGATAATACGTCAAAGGCCTTCCTTGGAATAATCTTTGACCTATAAATTCCTCTTTTTTGAATACAAATAAAGTAGTGAACAAGTATTTGTAGATAAATACATTGACTGTAGCAGCATTGTTTATATAGTGAGATCTCATGTCAACAAGAGGGTTGGGCACAAAGGTTCTGTTACAACGACATCATCATATTTTATGGTCATTTACAGTCATGTTAAGTGATGTGGAAAATGCTCATAACATGTTGAGAAAAGGTGTTGAAATATCACTTCTAGCAATCCTGACTGCTTTTAAAAATGTGTGTGTAAGTGCAGAAAAAGACTGGGAGGGGACCCTTGAAGTTCTCCGGTGGGATTAAGTGTTGTGTGTGCCTGTATGTTTTTAAATAAGCTGTCTTACTTTATAGTGAGAAATCTTGGAAAAGTGGAAAATAAGTCACTGCATTTTGCTGAAGGAGTATTTTTACTTTTCTACTTCTATAGATATATGCTAGTAATGATAACTAGGAAGTAGGGGTCATTAGTGAGAAACTTGTTGCTATATCTGTATACATTGAAGACTTCATTTTTAAAAAGTTTGCTGCTTTCATAAAATATCTAGAGACGTTCAGGTAATCTGACATATTTTCATATTCTAACCTAAAAAAGTGTCAAGTAAAACTTTCAGGAGTTAAACTGCTAGGCAGGAATATTTTTTTGGAAGACCATTGGAAGAGGAAGATTCTTGCCCTTGAATGAGATAGATACAGTCAGCTGCATTACTGTCTGTTTATGTGTACACACACATCTCCGTAACATGCCGTAACATGCCGCGCTGCGATTCTAGTTTGTGATAAGTCATGACCTCACGATTCTAGTTTGTGATAAGTCATGACCTCACGTGCTATTTAAGAGGCAGTCTAAGAAATGCTGAACAGTTTCTGTTGATACCTTAGTTTGCATTAAATTAAAACTTCTATTTGGAATGCATTGTTGAATGACCGGTTTTTACATGAAGCTTCTTGAATTTTCTAGGTGATAAAACAGGAACAAGACCAGAGTAAGTTCACAATTTAACTTTTAAAATATTTTAATTGAGTTTTATTGAGTAAATCGTAGACAGATAGTATGGTTGGAAGTAAATGAAACCATATAGGCTTCTTTTTCTTTGAAAAATTCTTTAATCTGCTTTTGTCAAAAATAAAATAATAAACCTATGCTCTGGAAAGATGATGGGATGGTCAAATCTTCAATTTTTAATCATTTGGAAAATTTATAACTGATTCTTTCTGGAACACTTTATGCCCAATTTGATATATAACACCCCTTTTCTGTGAGTTACTCTACCAGTACCGTTTATTTTCTGATGACAAGGAGGGAATAGAGCCTCCACACACATCATATGTTTCAAGAGCATGGTTTTTACTACCACTTGTTTTTTTCTCACCTAATTTGTACATTAAATGAAACATTTATAAATGAATGATCAAGTTCATGCCTTTAAAACATCTTGTGTATATTTTAGTCCTGTTACATAAATGAGGAAGCTGCAAGAGACTGAGGTTGGCCTAGGGTTATAGCAAGGAATTAGTAGCAAATCTGTGGTGAAATTTCCCTGATGATTACATTGCGGCATGCCAGATTTCACTCATTCCTATCCTCCTTAAATATTTGTGATTCCCTTAAGCTATTCCTCAGTCTTACTTTGTTGAACAACAAATTGAAATTCTAAAATAAAGTAAAATACAGTGAGCATCCCATTATGAGAAATTTTGTAGACTCTCTTTAAAGAATCCTTTACTATTTTTGAACCGAATGAAATGACACTCATAGAATTTTTGAGCTGGGGGAACTTAGTTCAATATTTAATCTGTTGGAATTTCTAAATTTTTTTCTTAAACATTTAGTCAAATGCATTTATGTGTACTTAGAATAGGTGCCAGTCTGTTTTAGAAAAGATATCTCCACGTCAGGTGAGTTGTTCAAAGTTGTTTTAAAGGTCAGGAAATTTATAGTTCTTTATAAAGAGCTTTGAGATCATTCATGAAATATATAAATGGGGAATATTTGCTTTATTTTCTTCTCTCTCAACATGTACTCTAGTGGAACTCAGCGCCAGCTGTTTATAACCCCAATGGCTTTAATAAATCTGTGGCATTTCTCTTAGGGATAGTAAAGCACTGAAGGATGAAAACCTACCTCCTGTCATCTGCCAGGATGTTGAAAATCTCCAGTAAGTGTGTCACACATTAGATAAATCGTATTGAAGAATGCTAGAATGTATTTTAGGGGGAAACGTCTCTTCCTCTTAAACGTTTTAACTTGGGTAAAAATGTTAATATTTTTATAAACTAGAGAGAAAGCAGAAAGCAGGAATTAAATTCTTGTTACTGTCATTCTGAAAAAAGCATATGAATTGTAGTTGAAGTTTTAATTTTTCCTTAAAACACTAGAACTCTGACCAACCTATTGTAAATGTACTTTTTTTCTGTAGGAAACCAAAGGTGTATTTTTAAAAAATTTAGTTCTATGTATCTTTTTAGGAAATTTGTGAAGGAACAGAAACAGGTACAGGAAGAAATTAGTAGAATGTCTTCGAAAGCAATGCTTAAAGTACGAGAAGACATCAAAGCTCTGAAGCAGCTTCTGTCCCTGGCTGCCAGTGGATTGCAGAGAGACACTCTCAGTATTGACAAGCTGAAAATAGAAACTGCTCAGGTAAACTAATGTACCGTCATTTTAGTGTGCAGTGTTGTTCTGCCATGTTTTTTCAGATGAAACCGCTCTTTTATAAACTTGAAGACTTACTACATACAGCTCATACACTTGTAAGTTGCTGCGGTAAAATAGTTACTAATTTGTATTGAGTGCTTACTATGTATGAGGTTTTGTTTTCTTTTTGTTGTTTTTTTTTTAGTTTTTATTATTGAGAAAGAGCACAAGGAGGGGAGTTGCAGAGAGAGGGAGAGAGAGAGAATCCCTAGCAGACTCCGCACAGCACAAAGCCCAATGCAGGGCGTGAACCCACGAACTGGGAGATCATGACCTGAGCCAAAGTCAGACCCTTAACCAACTGAGGCTCCCAGGTGCCCCATAGAAGGCAGTATTTTAAGCAATTTATATGAGTCCAGTTTAGTTTTCATGGCAGCTCTATGAGGTAGGCACTCTTACCTTCCTTATGTAAATAAGACAGCGGGCAGAGAGCTTTGTTAATAAATGCAAGAGCTTGGTCTCTCTGACCCTGGTTGGTAATCCAGCTCTAGAGTTGATGCTCCTAACTAGTTGGCTTTTACAGAGTGTCCGCTGGCTAAATTGCTATTATAAAAGCTAGACAGAGAGTGTTTTTTATTTTTTATTTTTTTTAAAATGCTTTATTTCTAGGAGAGAGAGAGAGAGAGAGGGAGAGACAGCATGAGCAGAGGAGGGTCAGGGAGAGAGGGAGTCACAGACTGAAGCAGGCTCCAGGATCTGAGCCGGCAGTCAGCACAGAGCCCGACGCGGGGCTCGAACCCACGAACCGCGAGATCATGACCTAAGCGAAAGTCGGACGCTTAACGGACTAAGCCACCCAGGCGCCCCCAGAGAGTGTTTTTTAAAAGCCTGTCAGTGGTTAAATAAAAACTGTATTATGCTTTGTAAATATTAAATATATATTAATATATATATTTTGTACATATATAAAAATATATATAGTTTTTACTTACTTTGGTGGGGAAGAATGATGGTAAGTGATTTACTTTTGTTTTCTATTTCACAATTACAAAATATACTTGATTTGGTCATGGCTGTCTAGAAATCTTTCCAAAAGTTTTCCCTCATCTTAATGAGCTTTATGTGATAGGCCTTTTTAGTGCTATGCTCTTCATAAATGAAGTGATAATATTAAGTAAAAATTTTAAAGGTGCTTATGTGTCTTTTTTTATTGAAATATGATTGACATGACACTATATTAGTTTCAGGTGTGCAACAAAGCAATTCAATATTTATTTATATTGCAAAAATGACCATAACAAACCTAGTTAACATCTACCACCGTACTTAGTTAAAAATCTTTACCCCTTGAGATGAGAACTTTTTTTTTAAGTTTATTTATTTTTGAGAGAGAGAGCAGGGGAGGGGCAGAGAGAGAGGGAGACCCAGAATCCGAAGCAGTCTCCAGGCTCTGAGCTATCAGCACAGCGTCTGATGCAGCGCTCGAACTCATGAACCATGTGATCATGACCTGAGCCAAGGACACTTAACCAACTGAGCCACCCAGGTTCCCCAAGATGAGAACTTTTAAGATCTACTCTCTTAGCAACTTGCAAGTATATTACCTATAGTGACTGTGCTGTACATTACATTCCCTGGTCTTATTTTAAAATTAGAAATTTGTATGTGCTTATCTTTAAGTCAACTATTGGAGAATACTTTTGTGATATTATTAATGAACGTGTGTTACTAAAGTAGCTGTTTTAAAGTATGATGTATAAAAGGAATTCAAAGCCTTTGTGTCTGCTTTCAGATTTCCAGGTTGCCTACACACTTTGGTTAAATACAAATAAAATATTCTCCCATATTTCTTTTTAACTTATTTCTTCTGTATATAACAGATAGGTATGTATATGTCATCTTTCTAGGAGAAAGAAAATGTTAGTTATGATTTTAGACAGTGGAGAATGATTAGACTTTGATTAAACGTTACATGAAATCACAGATTTCATATGTGAAATGTATGAAATTATATGGAAAGTTTATTAGCACAGTAGTAGAGGAAGCAAACTCAGGAAGAGAAATGAATGCTATAACGAGATCTGTTGCAACTTTAGTACTGGATGATTCCATTCACACATATTCAGACTACTTCTTATGTACTAGACTTGTTAATAGTCCTTCAGAGATAAAAACACAACCCCAAAGGCACGAAAAGACTACTGGGGTGAATGAAATCATGAAAGTTTGGGTAGAGTATAACGGTGGCAGGTGAAGAGTCAAAGAGCTTCCTTAAGGAAAAGTCCTCCGAGCCGGGCCTAGAAAGTTTTATAGGTGATGTCAAAGAAATTTGATATAAGCTTGGTTTATTTCTAATTTACAGGAATTTGTGATCTACCCACACTTCAGTGAATTATCAATTGGAAAAATATTCTGAGTCCCTTAGCGAAGTAGTTATCAATCTTTAACCCCAAACCCTTTTCTTCATGGAAAGCCTTTTTGGGAAATAAAGCAATTCTGAGGTGAGGAGCAGAGTTGTGATTGCAAAGACCAGAGCCTTATGGAAGCAAATTCTTTTAAATACCTCATTTTTAGGGGTATATAACTCAAGAGTTTAAATAAGAAGTGTAGTTAAATTTCTTTTTGGGTAGGGTAGGTGCCAAATGGTTTGTTGCAGTTATATTGCTGAGTCCATGGAGTCAGTGAACATTTTTAAGGATCTTTTATACACAGCACTTCAGCAGAGGCGTTTGGGATCAAAAGACATAGGATATACCAGGGAGAGTAAGTTAAATCAGTTCAGTACTATGTTCTAGGTACAAGGTATGATTGAGGCACAACGGCCTCAAGTGGGCGCTTTTAAAAAATGTTTATTTTGAGAGAGTGTGTGTGTGCATCTTTGCACAAGGAGGGGAGGGGCAGAGAGAGAGAAAGAGCGAATCCCAAGGAGGCCTTGCACTGTCAGCCTAGAGTGGGATGTGGGGCTTGATGTCGTGAATCATGAGATCATGAATGTCAGGAGTTGGACATTTAACAGACCGAGCCATCCAGGTGCCCCTTAAAGCATTTAAATAATAGCAGTCTTTTGCTGTGGATGAATTAACTTCACAGATTTTACAGAAGTCCATAGTTCCTAAAATAGATAAGCAGCTCATTATAAATTTATCATAAAGTTTGTTAAGAGTGTACTTTGTCTTTGGAAAGAGGTTTTGGCAACTTGTCAGACGGATTAAACACGACACGTTCTCAGAGCAGGAGAGTGGCAGTGTTTGAAGTTTCAGTCCAGAGATCATAGGTGTTTTCAACCTGGCTTTTAACTGGTCAATTTTCTCTTCTTTCTTTCTTTTCTTTCTTTCTTTTTTTTTTCTTTCTTTTTAAACCTCTGATCTATTAGGAGTTAAAGAATGCTGAAATAGCTTTAAGAACCCAGAAAACCCCGCCTGGACTCCAACATGAAAACACCGCTCCCGCCGAGTAAGTTGCTGGACTTTCTCATGTTAGGAAAGCAGAACAGTACACCGTCCAGGCTAAGGGTTTGTGGCTCATTATGTAGCAGGCCTGGGTTAACAAGCCCTTGACATGGATTTCTCCTTTTAATTCTCATAATAACCCTAAGAAAGCAGTTCACGATCTTCATTATCAAAGGGTAAGTGATGGCTAAGATGTGAGCTTTTAACCAGTGTTACGCAGTTACACTTTATTTGTAAGTTATGTAGAGGGCCTTTTCCACTGTTAAATTTTGCAGGCAGTATATATTTTTACCAATAAGGACTTTTTAAAGATAATTTTATGATAGTCCCTTCCTTAAACAGGGCATTCTGGAAGTAGTTTAACCCTTTTACTTGTTTGCATAGCTTTATTCACACAGGTAATAACTCATCAGAAAGAGCAATTAGAAACTGTAGAAAAGTTAAAATAAAAAACATCCACCTGCAGTCTCATCACCCAGGATGTGTATCTGTCTAGTTGCCAAGTGATTTCTATCTTGTCTCTTCATATCCTTTCATGTTGCTAGAGCTAATAACTAACATTTGTCAGATGCTCACCATCGGCCACGCAGAGCGCTTAGCACCTGACATACTTTATCTCCTTTTCCACAAAACCTCTACAGCGGTGACCGTCCCATCTTCCAGATGAAGGGCCTGAGGCCTGAAGGGCGGTGGAGGTCTGGCTCCTAGTCTCTCGCTCTTTTTTTTTTTCTTTTAACTTTTGATGGTGATATAATTTCAGACTTAGAGAAAAGTTTCAAGGATAAAACAAAGATTTCCCATATATCTTTTATCGAGATTCCTTACGTGGTAATGTTTTTACTATATTTGTCTTGTTCCCTGCTCTAATATACATGCATATTTTTCTCCCTGAACAGTTTGAGCTCTTTGCAGACAGATGCCCTTTATGCTAAAGCACTTCAGGTGTATTTCTTAAACCATAAGAACATTCTGTTACATAACCACAGTTCAGTGACCAAAATCAGAACATTAACAAGGACAGTCTTACTCTTATTAGCTTATTCAGATTAGCATGGGCTGTGCTTCCTTGCTGAACATCCTCTAGTAGTTTATCCTTCTTACTCTTCATCTGCCGTCAGAGCTAGTTTTGAAATGGGGCGAATTCTGTCATTTTCCACTGCAGAAAGCTTTCGTAGTTGCCCATTTCCTACAGAATTACATTCAGCATGCTTTGTATACGATTCAAGGTCCCTTTTATTTATCTGGCATTCTCTGGTTAAATTTAGCAGAATAGTAGTAGTAATTACATGCTCTTTCTGTGGACACCAAAGTGTTTTTAGGTTATAAATACAAGGACTAAGTACTTGTAAAGTCTGGTTGACAGTTGCACTTTTTAAAACTTTTATTTTGAACTTATTTAGACTTACAGAAAATTTGCAAAATTGATAGTACAAAGAACTTCCTTATATCCCTTACCCTTCTTCCCTTACTGTTAAAATACTGTGAAACCACAGTATAATTAAGAATAGGAAATTAACATAGATGTATTAATCAAGCAGCAGAACTTAATTTGAATTTTACTTACTTTTCCACTGATACGCTTTTTTTCTTCCAGGATCCTGTTTTCCACAAATGTACTTTTTCTATTCTAGGTTCCTGTTCACTTTGCATTCAGTTATTTCTCCTTAATCTCTCCCAGTCTGTAACAGTTATTCATAATTTTGATACTTTTAAAGCATAGAATGTTATTTTGTAGATTATTTCCTCATTGGGGTATTTCATGATCAGAGTAAGGATGTACATCTGTTTTTGATAAGTTGGTAACTTAGAAGTTTTGGTTTTGGTTTCAATAATATGTGTGCCATATCATTATGTCCTCAGACTAAGTCAAAGGCCCTACTTATATGGGGGTATATAATTATTTACTTGGTGTTTGGAATGCAGGGAAAATAATATTTTGAAAATTTTGACCTGACTTGGTAAATGTTTTTGTATAGCTACTTCAGAGTCTTGGTGCAGCAGTTTGAGGTCCAGCTTCAGCAGTACAGGCAGCAGATTGAAGAACTAGAGAACCATCTTGCCACTCAGGCAAATAACTCCCATATAACCCCTCAAGGTAACATGCTTTCTGTGGTGTGGTGTGGTTTTGTTGTCGTTGGTTTTTTTGACAGTCCTGGGTTTTGGTCAGAGAGAGGTTAAGGTGTTTTTGCATCATATTCTAGGTAACAGCTAATAGTCATCTTCAGCTGGTGTAAGACAATTTCCTGAAGGCTTTGATGAGATCTTTGTTCTCTATAAATAGAAAATGCTTTGTTATGAACTGTCAGGATGTTGACCAAGGCAGAAGTCTCAGGGCCTTCTCCCTTCCCCCGATGACTGATTCAGACACCTGCTCTCAGTCAGCTCACTGTGCTTTCTTCTCGTAGTCATGGCAACGCTGATATAGTTTGTTGCCTCCTACACTTTTAGTACCAAAGATTGAAGTCAAGTCCTAGAAAAATAATACTGATTATGTTACATATATGTTTGTGTGATAATATAATTTTCTTTTATAGATTTGTCAATGGCTATGCAGAAAATTTATCAAACATTTGTAGCTTTAGCTGCACAACTTCAGTCTATTCATGAAAATGTGAAGGTAAGTTTTCATTACCAGTTCACGTATCTGTATATCTAGACCCAAGTGAAGTATTCATTTGCAGAGCAAAAGCATTCATGCTCCGTATGGGAGTAGCTAAAATTGCATACAAGTGAAGAAGACTAAAAATAATCCCTAATCATGCTCAGATGCAGTCACAGATAATATCCATTGTTTTTTCAAAAAGATCCAAGTGTTCTATGCAATTAGCTATTTTAACTTTTTTTAGTAGTATATCGTAAACAGTTTTCTGCGTGGATACATATTTCTTCAACATCATTTTAATTAGTTACGTAGGATTTCGGTGTACATATGTGCGTAGTTTCCTTAATCCATCCTGTTGTTGGACGTTTAAGTTGTTTCCATCTCTTTACCACTATAAACAGCACTATAGAAAAGAAACCTACTCAGTAGCAAAAGTATTTTGTGCTGCTTTAATTTTATATATATGTGTGTGTGTGTATATACACACACACACACACACACACACACACATATATTATTTTGTTTATTTTTTTCAAAAGAGAGTGTGAGCAGAGGGAGGCGCAGAAAAGGAGACAGAGAATCTGAAGCAGACTCCAGGCTCTGAGCTGTCAGCATAGAGCCTGATGCAGGGATTGAACCCACAAACTGCGAGATCATGACCTGAGCCAAAGTCAGAGGCTTAACCAACAGAGCCACCCAGGCCGCCCCTGCATATGTTTTAAATACTTAATTAGTTATCAAATTTTTACAAGATCTGTCTCTTGTAAATACAGGGAAAAGTTTGTGTTTATTAAATAATATAAATAAAATATTTTGTCACTCAATATTTTGAACCTTGTGTAATGTTAGTTTTTAAAATTTTAGTGAAATGTTAAATATAGTATACTTTTTCCAACTGGTTAGGCAAATATAATTAAACTGTTTCTTGGGGTTATGTACAGTCAGAAAACAACCTTTAAAATTCAAAGCATCCAAACCTGAGTCTGATATTAACTGCAGAATAGAGTTTGAGATTACCATTATTTTTATTTTAATCTGGTACATGGTAATAGATTTTTTTTTAAGTTAGCCATTTAAATTGTAACATTTAAAAAAATGTTTATTTGAACATTTTGAGAGTGCAAGCTGGAGGGGAGCAGAGAGAGGGGTTGAGACAGGATCTGAAGCAGGCTCTGCACTGACGGTAGAGAACGCGGTGTAGGATCGTGACCTGAGCCCAAGTTGAATGCTTAACCGACTGAGCCACCCAGGAGCCCCATAAGTTACACCATGTTTGACTGAGCCACCCAGGAACCCCATAAATTACACCATTTTAAAAATGAGCATACTTTGGATCTTTTGCTTTAACATATTTAAAATTCTAAGCCAAAATTTTAAAATAGTTAGTTTTAAAGGAAGAATTTTCTTGAAATAAGTTTATTAAAGTGCTAAAGATGATTGTTGGTACTTTTCTTTCTTTTTTTCTTTTTTTTTTTAAATTAAATTAAAATTTTAAAATTTACATCCAAGTTAGCATAGAGTGCAACAGTGATTTCAGGAGTAGATTCCTTACTGCCCCTCACCCACGTAGCCCATCCCCCCTCCCACAACCCCTCCAGCAACCCTCTGTTTGTCCTCCATATTTAAGAGTCTCTTATGTTTTGTCCCCTCCCTGTTTTTATATTATTTTTGCTTCCCTTCCCTTATGTTCATGTGTTCTTTGTCTTTAAGTCCTTATATGAGTAAAGTCGTATGATATTTGTCTTTCTCTGACTAAGTTTGTTTAGCATAATACTCTCTAGTTCCATCCACGTAGTTGCATCTGTTGGTACTTTGAAGTCTGTGTGTTCTACAGATATTTTTCCCTTAATTTTTATTATGAAAGTTTTTTTTTTTTTTTCATTTCTAGGAGAGAGAGAGAGACAGCGTGAGCAGGGGAGGGTCAGAGAGAAAGGGAGTCACAGACTGAAACAGGCTCCAGGCTCTGAGCTGGCAGTCAGCACAGAGCCCGACGCGGGGCTCGAACCCACGAACTGCGAGATCATGACCTAAGTGAAAGTCGGACGCTTAACCGACTAAGCCACCCAGGCGCCCCTATTATGAAAGTTTTTAAGTATACACACACATAAAAGGAAGGGCACTGTTGTAATGAATGCCCAGGTACCGTCTTTCAGCTTCATCCCGTATCAAGATGTCAGTTTCCCACCTAGGGATGCTTTTTCCCCCTGGAACATTTTAAAGCAAATTCTAGACATATTATTTGTAAGTAAACATGCTTTTTCAATGGCAGTTTTTCCTCTCTGGTATTCTTTTTTTTTTTTTTTTGTAATGTACGTTCCCAGGAACCAAAGGATGTTCCATGATCAGATTTGCTATGTTGCCAGTTATTATCAGTTGAATTTAGTGACCAAAGTATAATTTCTAGTATAATTTCGTTTACTTACAGAAACCTCACAAGAGGTGGTTTTCTGTTTTTGATCCTTTTGTATTGTTTTTCATGAGATAATCTGCTGAAGTGGGCTTAAACTACCCAAGCCAGCCAAGCCTCAAGGACATTAACAAAATTGGACATTTTATCAATTAGCTTCTATAAATCAAGGCTAATATCTGTTCTTTTTTCTTTTTCCCCCTTAAACCAATTGTCTTTTCAAGTCTCTAAGGCAAGTCATTGTTTTTCAGTATCTGAAGCAGAACAGAAATTTATGGGCTATTAATGCCAAACATTATGGGTATGTCCGTAAAATTACACAGAGAAAAGAGGATGGATTAGGGGGAGATCAATTCTAATAAAATTCATTCTTCTGACATCACATACTCTGCTTCTGACTGCATTTCCCTCAGTTTTCAGTTCTTGGCAGGCCTGCTTCAGTACTTTATATATATATATATATATATATATATATATATATATATATAATGTACTTTATAGAGGTAGGAAAGTTTGGAACCAGTACCTCAAATACTGACATCCACACAAAAGGGGATGATAACTTTTAAATACTGTAAATAGCAGTACGATTTCTAAGTGTCCTACCGGTTAAGACCAAAAAGACATTACTGCTCAGAATGGTAGGAAATCTGAAAATTCTATATATTTTTAATAATTTTCTTAAATTTTCTTTTATTTCTGAGAGAGTCAGAGACAGCGTGAGCAGGGGAGGGTCAAAGAGAGAGGGAGACACAGAATCTGAAACAGGCTCCAGTCTCTGAGCTAGTTGTCAGCTAAGAGCCCGACGTGGGGCTCGAAACCACGAACCGTGAGATCATGACCTGAGCTGAAGTCAGATGCCCAACCCACTGAGCCACCCAGGTGCCCCATAAAATTCTATATATTTTTAAAAAGTTGTTTAAAACTGATCAAAATTAGATTAAACCCTTAATGAAAGTATTTAGTAATTCTGATATGAATTAATGGCTTTAATCAAGGCAGATGCTGTATTGGGTGAACCAGCCCACTTGATGAACTTGGTAATTTTTCTTTCTTACTCTGAAATTATAAACTCACTCTCCCCCTCCCCATTTGGTTATGCAAGCTCAACATGAGTCATTCTCATGGTACAATAGTGAAACAATATTGATAAAGTGAAAACCCTTTTTATACCCTCCAAGCTCTCTATGCTGAAGTCACTTATTTTAACATGTGTCACCTATACCTTTTAAAGAAGGCATTTGACATATATGTAGTACATGTTTTTAGCTTTTTGAATCAAGAGGTTGGATGTTAGAGAGTTTGGAAACAATTATAAAAAAGTAGGATATTGAAAATGGAATTTTACATATTACTGGCTGACTCAATTTAAAGAGGGCCTCATGAAGCCAGAATATTTTAGGCAATTTATTGTAAAGCTGTGACAAAATTAGGGAAGAAAATACTCTAGAGCGATAGAGCTTGCGGGCATCACTTTGCATTCCATGCGTTAACAGCGCTGTGATCTGCACCTCAGGGGGAATGTCTAGTATCGGCAGTGTCTTTGATCTTCTTATTTCCTACTTAGATATTCCCGTATTACCAGAGTCAACACTGAACCTGATTAACCCTTTCTTTTTTCTTTCCTTTAGGTGCTAAAAGAACAGTACCTGGGCTACAGGAAAATGTTCTTGGGAGATGCTGTAGATGTGTTTGAAGCCAGGCGAGCAGAAGCCAAGAAGTGGCAGAACGCACCCAGAGTTACTACTGGACCCACCCCTTTCAGCAGCATGCCAAATGCGGCAGCCGTTGCCATGGCTGCAACACTCACACAGCAGCAGCAGCCTGCTACAGGTCTGAGTGCATTCAAGTTATAGCTTCTTACTGTTAAAATGCAGAACCTTTATGTGCATTTTTATAAGTCTTCCTTTTGTGTGAGCACTGAAGAAATTTCTATGAGTAGCTATTCCAATACAATCTAAAAGTGATGATGGACACAATTATATACCTGATAAAAAATGCAGGGTAGTCTTAGCAATAATTATTCCTCAATTAGATATTGAATATTGTGAATTACTTACTGTTATTTGCTGTATTGCTATAAATGCCCTTTAGAACATGGTGTTTCACTAACAAGTTACATTTAAGAATAACACATTCTGAAATTGTGATTGTATCCTTTATTGTTTTAAAGTCAAAGATAATCCAGCCATTGTTGCATTTCTCACATACGATACTGATAGATGGTGCATTCTTGTGTCCTCATACATAGTGCTTACAGAGGGCCCACATGTAGGGTGAAGTACATTATGGCCGAAGGCGTGTTGAAGGTCAGTTGGCTGTTTTTATGTATAATGACTGGAAACAATACAGGTTCTCTTAACCAAGTTTGGACGAGAGTATGTGCTAGAATTATTTGTACCTTTTCAGAGTGAAAAGAGCAGGAGCAGGAAAAAGGTGATTGAGGTGCTGGATTGCACGTTAAGAAGTGGGAGCTGGGCAGCTGGGCAGGTGAGGAAAGTAACTGGTGAGGCCCTAGACAGGAGGTGATGGGGGCCTGTGGTTTAACTCCGCTTCTGACAAAAGAAACATTTTTGTGGTCTAGTTCTGCAGTTCGGAGTTCGGGCTGTGTCTTTTGGAGATTGTTGTCTTTACTCCTAGCCTCTTTTTTGTCAGGCTGCAAGTATGACAGAAAACACAGTCTCCGTGGATATTGAGTTTTTACTCATTCAGAAATTTTTGAGTAATGCTTCTTATTATCCTATCGCATGTGTCTTTCTGATAGTTCCATTAGTCCGCTAGTAAATTATGATACAAAAAGTAAAAACAAAACAGACGTATCTAGATTGCACTTAGGCTGCCTCTACTAGGGAAGCATTCTCTGGTTTTCACTACTGGCAGTTCAGAAATTGTTCTTCACATTTGGAGATGACAGAATTGACTTACCATCAGTGAGTGGCTGGTGATTGGTTCCATGCCACATCCTCCACATTCCGTGGCTGGACCCATGTGAATAGTGGCTCACAGTGGCACTATTGTACTAGTTCTCTAGCTGGCTGGAGTGTAGGATTCCTTTACTGACTTGATACTGAATCCTACTGATTCAGTAAAGGAATCAGTCGTATAATTATGATTATTAGTTCTCATGATTGTTTAACCAGCTAATCCAACCAACATAGTACCAATTTACTTTTTAGAGTCAGCATTAATCCTAAAATAGATCAGATAAGCATGGGTTTTGGTTAAGTGTCCTTTAAAACATAAGGGATTTCCATTTTAATAAAAAGTCAGTTATTTAAAATGTCATGGTATAGCTGAATTTTATATTCCAAAATTTGAAGCGAAAATTGAAGCAAAACCACTTGTCAGGGTTATTGTTGCATTTTGTTTTTTCGTGGGTTTTTTTTTTTAATCTTTTATGTAGACGGTCTTGAGGTTTGTAGGTTTTCACTCATACATTTTGCGCTCATGGGCATATGAAGATGTATGTTCATTCTATAAATACGAGTGCCTACTACGTGCTAGGCTCTGAGGATACGAAGGTAAACGATACGAGCTGAGTATGGTGTTTGCTCTCCGTGGCGTTGGAGAATGTTCGCTTCATTTAAACTCATCATCTTGAGGAGCCTCTGCTCATTTAGTTTTATCTGTGACTTTTGCCAGGCTTCAGGGAACCCGACTGTTTTCTATGGTCCCTGCAGTTTTGAAGCCCCTATAAGGGCTTCTCCGTTTTCATTTTGAGTTGTGTGGATTTTTAGAATTGAGAAGCTAAACAACAGTGATCACAGTTTTGTTTTATGTCTCCTCTTTTTCCTTCTGTTTCTTTGAAGGCCTTCCCAGCTCCCTCGTGCGTTCCTATATGTATTTTGCAGTCAGAATGTTCGCCATTTTAGCCCTGTCACCACTGCAGCAAGATGGATGAGGCCCCTAGATTCAGCCCGTTGAGAAGTTGCTTTGTACCCACTCAGTGACTTCATCTTTTTGTCCTGTGACTTTGGGGATATCTTTTGTTTTTTAAGTGCAAATAATTTTAAAGACCACCTAGATTCAGTTAGGTAAGGCTTGTGTGCTGTTGTCATGTACCACTGTTGATCTGTGCAAGATCTGAGTTGTCAGGGGATTTGCCCTTAGTTGCATATGGATTCTTCATTAATGTAAAAAATGCAGATAGCTTCTTAGGCTGCTACCTTCCGAAGGTGGTTTCTGCACAGTCTTTCTTGGAGGTGGAGGTATGGATTTTAGCGACTTCTTAACTTTGGTGTTTTTTAATGAAAAAAAAAAAGATATTAGGCCTGCACGATTTATGGTTATTGCTTCTGATGGCTGAAGAGAATTGATGAAAACCAGGAGGCTAATTACGTATGAAATAAGCATCAGTACATGGATAAATGACACATTAGTAGATCTTGAGTACACTTGTCCATCAGTGCTTTTGAAGCTTCTTAAAAAGCTGAAGACATTTTACATTAGGATTATCAGTATAATTTTAACTTAGGATAGATTGTTTTAAGCTAATGTGCTGGGATTAAGTTTTGCTTTTGTGTTTTGACACTTTTAAAAGTTCTTGATGTTTACATAATAAGATGATTCTCATGTGACTTAGCTGCTATTTTTAAGGAGAGCTGAGACATTTTGTTAGGAATTCCTAATTTCTAGCTTTTAGTGTAGGTTTGGACATTTAAGATGTAGTGTTAAATAGGAAACGTTAAGTATTTCATTTTAGTTTTCTTGGAGTTTTGTGGTTTTGTTGTATTTAACAACCAAAGGAACATTCCCCATTAAATCAGTAAGTAAAATTTTTCAAATTAGGGGAAAAGGCATTTTTTGTTTTTAAGAAAAATTATTTTTAAAAGATGACCTAGGAAGAATCATACTAATTACATTAGGTATTTTGAGTAATTATTGAAAATTATTAAAAAATTTTAGCACTTTAGTCCATTTCCTGTGAATGCAGTTTTACTTTTAAGAAAGTAGAATTTATTCTGGAAAATATGAATTACAGTGCTAAACTTGATTTTGTTGTGTGTGAATATGTTAGACGGTAACTTTTGTAAAATGTTACTCTACATGAAGATTTCACTTTGGGCAATTATTGGGATATATTACTACTAACTTGGTTTTATTTATGGAACTAAGCCTCTCATCGAATGACTATTCAGATTTTGAAGATAGATTTCTTGAATTGTTTACGTGACTTTTGCCTGAAGGATTTAGATTCTGCTTTCTAATAGTGAAACTAATTTATATGGTGGCCAGAGTGTAATATATGCTAATACTTTGGCATGGAAGATATTTATCATGAGTTTTTAATATTAAAAAATGTTATACATTTGCCTACTAGTTTTATAAATGATGTTGCCTTCAGAATTTGTGTGAAGGTACCAAACTCAAAGTATCATGTACCTGTTGTGCAATGGAAAGTCTTGTCATTGTCAGAGTTCTTGATTTACCTATATTCTGAATATTGATGATTAGGGTTGCTCTGAAAAACAGACCCATACACAACAAAAAGCACGTTATTTGAGTAACTCTTAGGACTTGTAGGGTTGAGGGCTGTGGTGTGCGTTATTCTCTAGGGTCTTCCACCAGCAGTGCCTCCTATAAACATGTGACGCTTAAGTCTCTCAGTGTTACAGAAACTGGACGTGTTTTCTACGTATTACTTTTGTTAGAAATAAGAAAGTGATGTGCTTAGTTTCTTTTTCCTGTAGTAACATTTTACAAAAGAGCTGCTAGGCAGGTATTTTATTCTCAAATTGATCTCAAACTGGATGTAAAAATTTAAATCTTTTTTTAATTTATTTTTTAATAGTAGTATAAGAACTCTGGCTGCTATCAGTTCTCACTCTTTATTTTCTGGGTAGAAGCTATTTGAAAAGTCCAGTTTCTGTCCCAGTGTAGCAAAATACAGTTCCTCAGTTTTCTTTTTTTTTTTTTAAGCTTTGTAATTTCACACTACCTTTTGAATATACAAACCTCATTCTTCGTTGAACAACTTGAAGGCTTTGCTTTTTTTGAAGAGTTTAAATTTCAATCTGTATGTTACTTTGGCAGTTCCCTCAACTTTGAGATGCACTGATCACTGTGCTTGAAAAAGACAAGACTGAAGATTGTACTATGAGATTTATTGAGTAATTTTCATAAATTATTTATCAAATGAGAGATTTTTAGATTTTTGTATTCTGCTTAAAGAACAAAAAGTAGTTAAAAAGAGAGGCTAGTGAGTTTGATGCTATTCTTGCCAAACAAACTCAGCCAAAATCTTTAAAGTAACGAATGGGAAAAGGATGACTAATTGTTCTGCATCTGAGTACATTTTCCAAAATGTTGGAAAGAAACTTCTGAATTGAAATCTTGAATGTATTGAATCTGTCAAGGTACACAGCGGTGCCTTTGTAAATGTTCATCATTTTATTTAATCAGGTGATAAGTGGTGTAATGTAGCAGAGCTTAATAATAGATCAATTATCACTTTTTGTGAACAAGTTGGAATTGTCATGTTACTGTGTAATTGATTTGCTTTAAAATGAACAATAAATTTAATGAAATAAAACACTGTCTTGTTTTTTATCTATTTATTGTATATATCATATTTCATATAAAAAGTGATGCCTAGTTTTTTGGGTACTTACTCTTATGAAGTAACATGATAGTTTTGCCACGTTAGTGTCAGTCTCTGATCAGTTGAGACTTGACTCTAACGATGAGGAGCTTGTTTTAAAAAGAAAAAAAGTAAAAACCTTTACTGATTACACCAACTAACTTTATCAGAAAACAGTTGGGGGAGACCTGAAATCATTCTAGAAATAAAACTAAAAGACAATACATTAAAGATTTCAAATTATTTAGTAGGTTAAAATAACATCTTTCAATGTGCTAAGCCTCTTTTAATTGCCTAGTATGAACAGGTTACTTAAAAACCAGTTTTGTTTTTGGTTTCTTTTTTTTTTTTCTTTTTGTCGTGAGGTTAAATCAGGCAGGGGAGACATCCTGAAAACTGACTTTTAGCAAATAGAATTTGTTAAAATTAATCACTGTTTATTTAAAAAATAATTTCATAAAGAAATTTTAATCCTGAAAGAGTAAGGCAAATTTGTTTTTTTTCCCCCCATTTTTTTATTTTATTTTTTATTTTATTTTTTTTATACCAGGGCCACAGCCATCTCTGGGAGTTAGTTTTGGAACACCATTCGGCTCAGGTATTGGCACTGGCTTGCAGTCAAGTGGCTTAGGTTCTTCAAACCTTGGAGGTACACTTTAACTTTTCTAATATTGCCTTGGACTATTATTCATTTGAGTTGATACCAGTCTGTAAAAACTTTCTCAGAGGGTCTGCTATTTTGGTAGTGAAAAACAGTTCTCCAGACGTAATCAGTGCTTTCCGGTCTTAGATTTAGAACTTGGATCATTTCATCTTCAGTGAATAGTAAATAAAAAAGAGTAGTAAAATTGATCGGTAGGGACGTTCCTATTTTCAAAGCAATAGGGTAAACTACAAACTTGAAAATTACTTAGTGTTAATAAATTTAACTTTAAAAAAATCAGTAGTCCTAATCACATCATTTTGGAGTCCAAACTGCATCTGGACATCTAATCATTATCTTCTTTTTCTGTAAATGAACACTTTAAATGGGAAAATAATGTTATTATAAATTGGACAGCTCAGCTTCTGTCTTTTCCTAAGCACTTTGGGCATATTTGCCTTTATTCATACTTGTAAATACATAACAATTAATAGTTTTATAAGTTAACTCTAGTAAGGTAAGTCTTCTGCAAATCATCATGCTAAATATAAATGTATTCACCATTCTGTGGTGTGGGTATTTGATAGTAGAGTGTATTTTGACAAGCATATTGTCCTGTAATGAGTAGATTATTTCCACTAAAATGTATCATCAAAGGAGTGAAAGCCTATGAGCAATCAAGGTGAATCCAGTGGACTCTACTGGAATTGCTAGGATTATGGTAGATAGTATATTTCCTATAATCTATATAATCCAGTTTGCCATCATATTTCTTAGTGTTATATAGGCCATAATACTGTCAGACTCAGTATTGTAGATAAACTACTGCAGACCAGCCTAAGGAGAATTTGAATTTTATTTTTAGAGCACTTGACTTTTAGGAGAGTGGAAACAAGTCTTTCAGTACTTAGCAGAAGCTCCTCTTGAACTTCATATAACGAACAGTATTTGTTTATTTAAATTATGACTAGTACTATTAAGAGAAGAAAAATGACCTCCCACTCTAAATTTCTCAGTTGTTGAATCGGCTGGTATGCGACGGGAGCCTGCTGTTACTGAGTAGATTTAATGTGATTAACTGTTTTGTAATTAAGCCGTTTTTCAATAGTAGAGGTTCTTAAGTGAAAAGGTTTTGGTAAAAAAGAGAGTAAAGTTGTCCTGTGGTACTTGGTGTTTAAATTGTTGTGCATGTCATGCTTATGAATTTAGTCAGTCTTTTTTTTCAAAATGAAATAACCCTAAGTAGATGTGTCTGTATCTGCTTGACCTGACACCATATTAGAGTGGTCACTAAGATTTCTAGTCAGTTTGGGAGAGAAAATACTAATATGATCTTGTTCTTTATAAAGTACCGATTGGTCTGAAATTTAGTCTAAACAGATAAAAAATGTTTATTTCAGAATTAATCTGATTCTTCAAAAGTCTGATGCAAAAGAGTAACTAGCAGGTTTCTGTAATAGCACTGTATTTATTAGACCTTTGATAATTTTAGGTTTTATTTGTCAGTATCCTTTGATCTGTGTTTTACGTACCATTGTGTATTTCTCTATTACCCTTTCACTAGGATTTGGAACTAGCTCTGGTTTTGGATGCAGCACGACAGGGGCCTCCACATTTGGATTTGGAACAACAAATAAACCCTCAGGAAGTCTTAGTGCAGGTTTGTGTGTCTGCGGCCTGAATTTCAGGCAAACTTAAAGATGCAAATTATTTAATTTAAAAGTATAATTACTGTTATTTCCCGTATCCAAAAGCAATCTCTGATTCAGTTTCTACCCCCCCCCCAGATGTAGCATGCAAGCCTAACTAATCATAGAGTTTTATCTCTCTCATAAACTAAAAGTCAAGTTTGTGAAATATTTCTAACAGGACTTATTAGTTTGATATAATAAGTAATTATATCCTCTTTTAACTAAGCAGAGATTATTTTGAACCCAAAGACTAGTTTCATGGTTAAACAAGTCTCTTCATTAATTACAGAAATGGACCCATTGTTGTGAAAGTTTTAACCCAGTTTTTATCATTATTTGTCTCGGAGAATGATTTCTCTCCCAAAGAGATGTTCTTTAGTTATAAGTCCCTTTGGTTTAAAAAATCCCAGTCTTTACAAGAGATGATTAATTGGGTTCTTTGTTCATTTTTGAAACAGGCATGTAATCTTTTGACTCTTCTAGTAGAAAATCCCAAGTTTCTTCTCCCATTTTCTCTGTATTTGTAAATCATGGCTTGATTTAATGTTTAACGCTTAGGGATAAGTAGCATGTCTAAAATAATGGCATAATACTTAATGTGTTTAAATTGAGGGAATTTTAAGGCAATTCCATTTAATAGTAAGTGGTATTTAAAATCAGTCGTTCCCAAAGAGTAAGATAATAGAATTCCATGATAGGAGGGTTCTAATCTCAAATCGGTACTGTTAAGTAGGCAGTGATAGCACTTGATCTTAGTTATGCGAAGATTCTTATAAAATCTGAGCAGTGCATGCTACTCTTTGGTGTGTTCGTTGTCCTGAAAATCATGGGTCGAGGCCTTCTTAGAGGACTTAGGATTACAGGAGTGAGCCCCTCTTCTACACGGTGACAGCATTTTTCTGGAGGGGCTGAGGTGGAAGGCACCAGGGCATATCTAATTCACAGGAAAGTGTCTGGCGACTTGAAGTGTTCTAGAGTTCCGTTATTTGTGCTGAGATTTCTCTTCTGGCTTGGATCACTAACCTTACGCCTTCAAAGTGCCTCTTAGTTGTTAGCTAAATTACTGTCTTATAACATTTCCCATGTTACAGATTTAGGGTTCTAATATATTTGTTATTTTTATAAATATGTATTCTTTTAGCTAGAAATTTACCTCTTGTCGCCAGTGTTTATATTTGTTTTTGTGATTTATCTTCTGACGTGAATATTTTCTTCCCTAAACATAAGGCTTTGGCAGCTCAAGTACATCTGGGTTTAACTTCAGCAATCCTGGGATCACGGCATCAGCTGGTTTGACATTTGGGGTGTCCAGTCCTGCCTCTGCAGGGTTTGGAACAGGAGGGCAGCTCCTTCAGTTGAAGAAACCTCCAGCTGGAAACAAAAGAGGAAAAAGATAAACATACGGGTTGATGTGGTCAAGAGAATTCATAGCAGCATCGTTCATTCTATGAGTCTATTTTTCTAAAATTGATGCAGTAATTAGATTGCATCCCAGGAGATTTATAAAGTTTTGCTATTTTCCCTACTCTGGAATCTGAACTGTGTTCTTGTTTGCCACGGTAAACATCTTTTTCCTTGTGGATTTGAAACCCAGTTGTGTATCTCGTTATTTTGATGGTCAGTGTAAGAAATGTTTGATTACATCACTGATAAGTAAAACCTATTTAACCCTACTGTCATAGCAGTGTTTCTGTTGATAAGGTTTACATGATGTGAATATATGCACATTTGTTTCCTGTACAGGTGGTATGAACTCCTGAGTCCTCTACTAGAATCAGTTTGTTCCTTGATAAAGGCCTTTTGAACTCCACTGCAGGGCGTCTTGTGAATATGTATGTAAATATATACAGAATAATACACACAGTTGTGTGTTCATATAAAATATATATTTACAGACCTACAACTTTTGCCTCAGACTTGTTCCCCTTTTCTAAGGGTATTCTATTTTTCACCTTTTAAGCTTCAAAGCCTCAGTGCTTGTAGAACGATGAGCTAGAGGTACCAGGTCATTGCGGTTATTTAATTTGCTTAGAGACCTAATGAAATGGTTACTGGTGTAAATAGTTGACCAGCTCCGCTTCATTGCCCCCAGTCTTTTCCACAGCAGCTGCTCTGAATGAGGAGTGCTGTTAAGAATCATCCAGCGGATTTTTAACAATTTTTATTATCCCATACACTCTCATATTGCCTGTGTGAGATGCTTTCTCATATCTGAGATGAACCTTCAAGAGCGTATGTCACATATGCTCCAGACTGATGTCTGGGGGCAAAGAGCTATTAAGCCAAATTGATTCTATGCAGGTGAAGGATGCACTATTACTTTAATGGAAACTTTTCTAGCTATTCCAATACAGAGTTCTTTCTTATAGGGCTATTGATATTGACACCAAATGGAGTGGTTTATCAGCCTCTTAATGTCTTAAGTAAATGCTTAATTTGGAACAGAGAAACCCTATATTTTAAGAAAAAAGTATTCTTTGTAGCAACTATAAACTACCCCGTTTTGACAGTGAACAGAGCTCCAGAACTGAAACACGAGGCACGTCAGAATGCATCTGTGTGATATTTGTGTCCATGAGTATCCGTGACATCGAGTGGGTGAAAAAGAGGGCCCTTGGAAAGAGAACTGCCTTAGTTATGATTTCAGACAGAAACCATGAGGTAGACCTACTTATCTTTCAAGTACAGTTTTCAAATGGGCTGTGAACATGGAATTTCGTTGAAAATAGTATAATTTTTTATATAGAAGGTTTTGTACATAATGTGCATCAAGTGAATATTTTCAGAATCATTTTCACCAAGGCACCTTTTTTTCTATAATAGGTATTACATATATATACACACACATATATATTTTTAGTATAATGTTAGTTGGGTTTGATTACTAAAGTGTTGTTCAGTCTGTTTTATTTATCCGCATATAGCAGTGATTGGCTTTTTGGAATTGAAACCTCTGCGCCTTGATGCATTAAAATAAGGAAAACGCTTTGTTTCTGAACACTGAAGTTGTTTTTATTTTCGCCTTCTTTAAAACTGCAGTCCCCAGATCCAGATTTTGGGGAAGGGTAGGAAAATGGGATTTTGTGTTTTGAGTTACTGTCAGAATTAAATACCCAATTACAACAAGCTGGGTTTTTTTTTAAAAGGACATTGCATTGTGCTACAAAAATCTGAATATTTATATTTCTTATTTTTTCTTTATATATTATACATTTTAATATGTTGAACCACTGGAAATTTGTAACAGATCAACTTGTGATAGGAGTTTAAATGTGGCGTCATTGTCTCCAATGTCTTCACTCTGTCCTGAGCCTGTCATTATGTAAACAATAAAATTTATTGTGTCAGTTGCTTTGAATTTTTATAGGTGTCAGTAGTTGTTCTTAATACGTAATTTTCTTATTATTACTCCTTTTTCTCTTTGATTGGTTCTTAGTGTTTTCTTTTTACCAATTTATGTATCTTGCTTTTTAGAAAAAATTGTAGAGTGAACACAAGATAGAAGGGATATGGGGTAAAATGCAAAAGTCCCCTTCAGCTTCCAGGGCCTCATCCCACTTTCTTCCCCTGAGTATCTTCTCTTCACACTTGGGTGTGTATTCTCTCGAACCCTTTAAAAGATGCCTTTTTCAACATAGGCATGTGAATATTTTCTCTCTCTCATTTTCTCACATATAACATTCTCTCTTAGATCCTCTCTTTTTTAACAAATGGGTTTAAAGAAAATCTGTACTTCCCGATTTGTTTTCTTTCCCCTTTAATGATAGGTCATCACTGTTTTTCCACGTCAGTGCATGTAATTTACTTGTTCTGTACCATCCTGTAGCATGGATGTACGATGATTTCTTTAAAGTATTTTCTGTGGTGTGGGCAGTTAGCTTCTTTCCAGTATTTCTGTTTCACAGAAGAGTTGTATGTGACTCTTTGTTCATATGTTTAATGTTTCTTTGGGATTGATCCTTGAAGAGGAATTGCCAAAGAGGCAAATACACAAATTGTATTTTTTAATGCTAGATTGCCTCCCCAAACGCTGTATAAATAATACACTTCTACAGTGTGTAGGAGTACCCATTTCCTAGTATGCTTTGCAACCCTGAATATTATCAATCCTAATAATAACTTGTGAGTTGAACTTTTTAATATATATGTTATCCATTTGCATGTTAATGTAATTGCATGTTGATATCTTTTGTCCATCTTTATGCCAGGTTATTTAAGAGGTTTTTTTGTTTTAATGCTCTCTGAAGATAATATACATTAATATTTTTCTTCTGAGGTAGTTTGGACTCTTGGAGTCAGCTGGGTTCAGACCCTTGCTTTGAACCTGTGTGATCCTGGGCAAGTTAATTCACTTTTCTGACCTTAAGCTTTGTCGTCTGAAAAGTGGGGATAATAAAGATGGGTAGTTGTATTAATAATAGGATCTCTTACAAAGCACTTGGATGGCATGAGCCCCCGATACTTTGCAAGCATCACTTCTTGCACCAGCACCCCACTGCTGTAGTCACTGTAGCTGGGTGCTTGGCTCTGGCCCCTGATAGGGCAGCTGCCCTATCTTACTTGTTTTGTTTGTTTTTGTTTTTGTGTACGGTGGCTGTTTTAGGACACCTAGTCTTTAAGGTAAGCCTGAATACCTATATTTTTCTTTAAAAGATCTTACTGGGAGTTTGATTGGGTTTATACAAATGAAATACATGAGGATCTGGGGGAGAGTTGACATCTTAACATGGATAGCATGATATGTGCATCTGTTAGGTCTCGTGTTCTTTGGGCAAGGTTTCACAGCGTTTATTGGGCACTTGGTTAATTGTTTTTACTAACCGCATCTTGATTTTATTACTGAGTGGATTTTTAATCCTGTACTTAGTACAGTATCATTCGAATCATTACACAAGCAGATTAACTGTTCTTTTGTGATGACCCAGTAAACCCAAGTTAACGACTTACTAATCTCAAATAGTGTGGGAATCTGAATAGTGCTTTTAGAAATACTGTAATGGGATTTTTACGTGTGAAATATTGGGGTTTCAGGGATTTATCGCAATTGCTTTGGCACCCCCTTCCTCCGTGCCTCGCCCAACTCCCCATGTGTAATCCTAGCTGCGCTGTACTTTTTGGAACACACGCCACAGAGTTATTTAGGGGACACAACCCTGGGACTTGGTAACACGGGGTCGGTGTCCTGGAAAACCCGAGCTGGGGGGCCTAATCCAGATCTTCACAAAGTCCCCTTTACCTGTGGGCATCTTCCATTAATATTCAGTGTGGGGTCTGTTCCGGGCTCCACAGTCGCAACTTTTATGTACTCTCCTCTGTTTAACCTTAGTATTACCCTCTAAGGGGAAAACTCCCAATTTCTAGATGAAGAAACTGAAGCTTAATTTACACAGTTTACTGGAGGCCACATGTCTGTTAAGTCATGGGGCTGGGGTTTTCTGTGCTAACAGGAATGGCACACCGATTTTCATGCCCAAGCTGTCAAAGTCTCTGAAGGGAATGTCCTTACACGATTTCTGTGGAAAATTCCGAGTATACAATAAACCATAGATCAAAGCAAGGTAAGTACAAGGGCCTTGGAACTTGAGGGAGCGTAATCCTAGGGAGGGTGTTAGGCTAGGACCTAGCAGGGCCAGACGTGTGTCACCACCTCCCACTGCTTCCCCGTGAAGCAGCTCAGAGAGAAGCCCCCCATTCCAGCATTGGGGTGGTCTGCCCACCTTGGAAAGTGTCAGGGGGAGCAATTTGGACGGTTAGAATCTCAGGAAGGCAAGATGTTTAACAAGAAGGCCCTTCCAGGAAGGTCTGCGTGATTTCCTGTGACCCTGGAGCACCGCGTGCTCAGACGGCAGGAGACGAGAGCCTTCTCTTGCCTTACAGAGAGTGACCGCGCCCGGCCCAAGGAGACCATGGAGAGGGGCAAGGAGCTGGGGAGCTACGAGGCAGCAGCAGGTAGAGGAAAGAGTAGGGATTTCTGGAAAAACCGGTCATGGTCCAAAATTTTTTTTTTTTTTTGCCTTCCCTACTGATTCAATCTAATGCTCTCTTTCTTCCACCTAATCTGTCCGGTAAGATCAACAAAAACCGACCAGGCTCACAAAGGTTGCAGTGCCAAAGACTTGGCTGTGGATTTAATTTGCAGAGACCTTGTTTTCCTCCTCCTCAGCCCTCTGAATCTGCTGGTAGTCGGTCAGTTTAATTCAGCAAACATTTGTTGATATTTGCTGTATGCAAGTCACCGCTGGGAACTTAAAAGAATATAAATACGAATGGAGTGTTTTCTGTACTCAGTAACGTTAGCTAACTTCCAGTACTAGGTGGAGAATGAGGGCCTACTCTTAAGAGCTTGCCATATATGCACAAAAACAGACACATAGACCAGTGGAATGGAATAGAGAACTCGGATCTGGACCCAAAAGTGTACAGCCAACTAATCTGATAAAGCAGGGAAGAGAATCCAATGGAAAAAAGACAGCCTCTTTAACAGATGGTGTGGGGAGAACTGGACAGCAACATGCAGAAGAATAAAACTAGATCATTTTCTCACACCATACACAAAAATAAACTCAAAGTAGATAAAAGGACCTGAACGTGAGACAGGAAACCATCAAAACCCTAGAGGAGAAAGCAGGAAACAACTTCCTTGACCTCCACCGCAGCAACTTCTTACTTGACACATCCCCAAAGGCAAGGGAATCAACAGCAAACATGAACTATTGGGACCTCATCAAGATTAAAAGCTTCTGCACGGCAAAGGAAACAATCCATAAAACGAATAGACAACTAATGGAATGGGAAAAGATAGTTGCAAATGACGTATAAGATAAAGGGCTAGTATCCAAAATATATAAGGAGCTCACCAAACTCCACACCTGAAAAATAATCCAGTGAAGAAGTGGGCAGAAGACATGAACAGACACTTCTCCAAAGATGACATCCAGATGGCCAACAGACACATGATGTCTCAGCGTCCCTCCTCATCAGGGAAATACAAATCAAAACCACACTGAGATACCACCTCACGCCAGTCAGAGTGGCTAAAATGAGCAAATCAGAGGACTCTAGATGCTGGTGAGGATGTGGAGAAACGGGCACCCTCCTACACTGTTGGTGGGAATGTAAACGGGTGCAACCTCCCTGGAAAACAGTGTGGAGGTTGCTCAAAAAATGAACACTAGAACTCCCCTATGACCCAGCAATAGCACTGCTAGGAATTTACCCAAGGGATACAGGAGTGCTGATGCATAGGGGCACATGGACCCCAATGTTCATAGCAGCACTCTCAACGATAGCCAAAACATGGAAAGAGCCTAAGTGTCCATCAACGGATGAATGGATCAAGAAGATGTGGTTTATCTATACGATACAATACTACATGGCAATGAGAAAGAATGAAATCTGGCCATGTGTAGCAACATGGATAGACCTTGAGGGTGTTATGTTGAGCGAAATAAGTCAGGCAGAGAAGGACATATACCATATGTTTGCACGTATAGGAGGATTAGGAGGAACATAACGAAGGACCGTGGGGGAGAAGAAGGGGAAAAATAGTGGGGCAGAGGGAGGGAGGCAAACCATGAGAGGCTCTTGAATGCCGAGAACAAACTGAGGGCAGATGGGGTGGGGGGAGGGAAGGGGGATGATGGGCATGGAGGAGGGCATTTGTGGGGATGATCCCTGGGTGTTATATGGAAACCAACTTGACAATAAACTATTTTAAAAAATAGCCATATATGAACTCTTAGTTCTATGAGGTAGATCATATTATTTCTTTTTTACAAATGAGAATAGAGGCACAAGTCACTGGTAAGTGAATGGGCCAGAATTCAAGCCCAGGCTGTTTATTTCTAGAGTCTAGGATTATATGCAAGTATACTATAATGTGAGCTTCTCATTAAGTGATAGGATAAAGATACAAAAAAAAAATATTGAGAGCACAGAGGAGATCATTAATTTGGATTGGGGAAACTCAAGAAAATTGTAATAGGTGGCTTTGAGCAATAAGTGAATAGGATTTCTTAAAATTTTTTAAATGTTTTATTTATTTCTGACAGAAAGAGAGAGACAGTGTGAGCAGGGGAGGGTCAGAGAGAGGGAGAATCAGAATCCAAAGCAGGCTCCAGGCTCTGAGCTGTCAACACAGAGCCCAACGTGGGGCTCGAACCCACAAACCATGAGATCATGACCTGAGCCGAAGTCGGACACTTAACTGACTGAGCCACCTAGGCGCCCTTTAAATGTTCTTTTAAGTGTTTAGTTTTGAGAGAGAGAAGAGTGTGTGTGAGTGGGGGAGGAGGAGAGAGAGAGAGGGAGACAGAATCCGAAGACAGGCTCCAGGCTCCGAGCTGTCAGCACAGAGCCCAAG